TTACTTTCTTTTTTGCTGGGACTTAAACCCACGCGCACGCGCACGGTCATATCATTCACTGGCAGATCTCGCCCTCATTAAGACCACCAACATGGCTATCGATGGAAAAAATCAAGACCCAAAAGCCAGGCGCATTTTGCCTACCAAGTGGAAAGCACCAGCTCTTGGTGGAACAGTACGCGCGCAAACGGCGGAGCCGCTAGTCTGCTACACAGCCGTTTTTAGTGTCGTCACGCAATACTCCTCGTGGGAAGAAACGTTGCGTGACGACACTAAAAACGGTTGTGTAGCAGACTACGGGGCCGCCGACAAGCGAGAGATAAGCCTGCGTGGCAGGCGCAAAATGGAAAATGGAGAAGAGAAAAAATGCAAAAGCGAAAAGGAAGAGGTCTCTTTTCCTCTCTCTCGAACCCCCCTCCCTTTTCCCCTCCTTCAGGAGCCGACTCCTTCTCTAAACCGTTCGATGCCTGACAGGCAGGCTACACTAGAACTCGGGCTCCAGCCGTGGGTGTCTCGATTCGCCCGAGATCCTCTCCACTCCTGAGAGATCAATGGCAGGAGAGAGAAGTCACAGCTAGAGCGGATGGCGGCCAGCAGCATTCCCTCACGCGCGGGCAACTCTCACGCACGGACTAACCACCACTGGTTTCCCCCTGAAAAAACGTCTGAGGAACAAGCGCCAAAAATATCACACTGATAAGTGTCACTACCCAGATCTGGGTAGTTCTTCTGATTGGTCGTACCGCCACTTCAACCAATCAGAAGCACATCCTGACGCATCATCAGCATCGAATTTCTTCGCCAGATCCTCAGACCGATCCTTTCGTGGGAATAGCAGTGGTGTTACCGCCCACTGTCACCCAAACCGCAACAGCTTATACCACTCTTTCAATTCATTCATATCTTTATTACATATTGCATTTTATTATTTGTACAATATTTTTCACCGCTCAAAGCTAAATGCTTTATATAAAACACAGAAAAGTACAATTAGGTTAAACATTACAAAACAAAATCTTTCAGCTTTTAAATAAAATAACAATATTATATTTTCCTCTGCTGTTTTGAGTAATGTAAATTCTCTGAAAACAAAATATGGCCTGGATTCACGAAGGAAGGCGCCCAAATACGGTACGAACTCTTTTCATTGATTTCTTTTTTAAAAAAGAAACACTAAACAATAAAATAACATGTAAAAAGCACGACATTTGGTAACAATTTATATAACGCTAATTGTAGAAACGCACCCATTCACTACGCCAAATCTATGGATAGATGAAAATATTCTTTTGAAAATCTATATAATAATTCTTTACCTTGGAGTTAAAAGGGGGTGATGATACCTCATGCAAAGCAACGGTATAATTTACTCAAACTATATTGTTGCGAAAAATGATTTCACTGCTAGCAAACTGAACCGACATTTTATATTCAGAGGTTTGGCAAATAAGTGAAGATTTTAATGGACAGCGACACGCTGTTCATTAATTTTATCGCTAGTTTTCATTTTAAAATGTCTAGAAAATTGGACGGGGTTAATGTTATATACAACAACAGCAACCGCCTAGTAAATACAAACGCCATTTCCGAGTTTCATTCAGTAGCTGTCAAAATTTTAGCCTGCGAGTGCAAGAGCATCCGGGTTTTTCGGGTCTAGTTTCACCCGCCCAGAAAAACCGTTATTTACCGAGGGAGAGAAGGGACGACTGGAAATACGTCTCCGGTTCGCAGGCTATCAAAATTTGCAAATATTTCAAAGCCGCTAAAACACTGTTACACGCAGGAAAAACACTGTGTGACATCGCCATACAACAGGGCCAGCGAAGGACAGTGTATCCTTGTGTAACAAGCGATATTCGTCAATACCATTAGAGAGGTTAAGCATCAACGTTTCCTCTTGACTCGTCGTTTACTGCTCATTATTTCTACAACTAAATTAGTCGTTTTACGCATTTTTTTATCCATAAGAATTGTTTTGAGCTGTTTTGAAAAATTCTCAACTTGAATCTGAAGTTTGCCGTATACGTGAAGCGCAATTACAGTTAAGTTTCCGGGATTCCAGCAATCCCTGAAAACGAACACAAACCGAACAATATACCTCTTTTCCCTACAGTGTCGATGTTTTTGGGGAGCCAAAGTCGAGAGAACAAAGCTAACTTCCTAAGGAAACAGACATTAAAGCTACGTTTGGTTCACACGCAGCCGGACGACCGGTGGAAAATTCATTCGTTTGGGTTTCCCAATTTGATTTAGACTAGCCGTTCAAAGTTTCGTGTGAACTGAGCGAAAATATTGAACAGTCCCGTGTGAAGGTAGCCTATTTTTAAGTGCTTTGTTGGATCATCGCCGGTGTAATATAATTTATTACTCACAGCTGAGGTAAAAGAAAGAAAGCAAAACATCCTTAACAATGAACCTAACCCCAACGATAGTCCATAAAACAGAGAAAAGGAATAAATTATATTGCACCGGAGATGACCCGTATTATAATTAGAAAAACAAACCAACAAGCGACCAACAATTTCACATTAGGGCCATTTATACGAGGGAAAATAAGACGCGTCTTAAATAAGACGCGAACTTTCCGTATAAACGGCACATTTCGTCTAAAAGAAGACGCGGCTTAGCTAAGACGCGTCTTATTAGATAAGACATGCTCGTATAAATGGTACAGTTCGCGTCTTATTTTTCTTCGTATAAATGGCCTAATGTATCCTTCCCAGACAACAGCTATTTATAACTTTATCCAGTGCGGGATACAGATGAAAAACTGCAACTGTATGATAAAGAAACTGTTCACGGATGCAAGTTTATCACTTTCTTTCTTGTACTGAATGAAACTGTAGAATATTTAAAGTCTACCTAGTTATTTACCTTTAAACGACCATTGCTAAAGCTTTAGAATAAGGGGCTAAACAACAGGGCTAAGAATAAAGCCTAGAATTTTTTTTTTATCAGCTAGGGTATAGTAATTACAATAATTTTTCTGTATGTTGACCGCTTGTCATCTATACGTACGTACCACCATTTCACCAGGAGTCCTACGTAGCATTCTGTAAACAAAGAAAACAAAAAAAGGTAAAATCAAAAAAGAATAACAACACATTGAATATTATCGTTACTGATACTAATAACATGGTAAGCACTTCATTAACCGATATTAAGATATTTCCCGTTTCACACTCTGAGTGAAAAAGGCGGTTCTAAAGTCTCTGGACGAGATCCTGATGCTTGACCATCCAAATGAAACCTCTTCATCAGTACGTTCACATGGTACTATTTATTTAGTATGTAGTTCTAACTTTTGAGTCTGTGAACGAAATCCTACGGTGTTACCATTTAAACGAAAGCTCTTCAGCAGTACTTTCACATGGGACAACTTATTTTTCAGCACTGCAAATATTGACTTCAGCCACCTTTGGTATAGCCTGTTCACAGTCCCAAATTTTTTTTGTAAGATCGTCAGGATCGAGTATGCACCCTTAGGGGCGACCATCTTGGCTTTTAATGTACCGAGTCTAGCCTGGCCATAAAACTCGGGGCCCGCCTACTCAGCTTCAGTACATTTGAAACAAAGATGGCGCGCCCGGAACGATGTACACTTGGTCTCGACGATCTCACGAAAAAATAGGGGACTGTGAACAGTCTACTTTTGGTATTAACCCTTTCACTACCAAAAGTGGCCCACGGCAAATTTCGACCAAAGTTTCAAATTTCATTTTCTAAAATTTTGAGAAACAAATGGCATCATGTGAAAGTGCAGACAGAGAACTTTAATTTGAATGGTCACATCATAGGATTTCGTCCATAGACTCAAAAGTTAGAGTCACCTTACAAAACTCCATCAAACACTCTGGCAGTGAAAGGGTTAACGGCCCATCACGTGGACAGAGCAGACAAGAGCAGCATCATCCCAAGACCTATGGGTGTCAAGTCGGGGCGGCACAACTGGGGTACTTATCATTTACTTGGGAAAACTGGAAATTCCGGTTGGGAAATCAAATGGTTTGCGCCATTCCGTGTGGGAAGCTTAAAAAAATATGGGCTTTGATTTTAGGGGATGTACTTTTTCAACTCATTTTAGTCTGCTCAGCGGATTTGGATACACTTTGTAGCGGATCGTTCTTCCACCAAGTCAAATTCTATAGTCTCATACTTATCAGTAGCAGGCGCGGATCCACACCGGCTTCCAGCGTTTTACGGAAATCGGTCAGATTTTTCATAATAAATATATTTTCAACAAAAATTAAATAAAACACTTTCCAAATTGAACTCTGGCCAATATCCCGTCCAAATGACTCGGAAACCGATGCAGGAAAGAGGACTTAAAGGAGTTAAAAATCCAAAAACTCCCCTGGGGGAGCCTGGCGCTGGACCCCCTAGAAGCTTGCGCCTTCGGCGCTCGTTTAGGAAATCACTCAGTATTTATCCTAGATCCGCGCCTGAGTAGCACCCAACGTCAATTTTCGGAATGATATCTGTTCGGAAGACGATTTGAGATCTAGAATTTTCGGAACATTTGTTGTAAAATTTCTTGCTTACCTGCCTCTCCTAGGATTTTCGAACATGTAAAAAATGGTATAATTGCCCCTTTTTAACAGTTTTTTACCCTAAAAAGGTCACCTAGAATTTTGGGGAGCCTTTTTTCTGCCTGAAATTTTCGAAAAGGTAAGTTTGCATCCCTATAATTTTCGGATCATCAGACTTTTAGCTAGGAAACACTAAAATACGTTTAACAATGCTATGTTTAAGTGGTTGTCAACTATATTCTCGTTGGGTGCCCCTGGCTTATGCACAAGATTTCCACCAGGGTGGTTTGTGTACATGGTAAGCACCCCTGAATTTCCCTTACCGCGGACTAAACGCCGAATGGAATCTAAACCCGGGATCTTCGGATTACAATTATGTATTAGATACATGACCTTTCCACTTAAGATAAAATGCTGGGTTAGGGGAGGGGTAGGTGGGCAGTTTCCCTTAACAATGAAAACAATACTGCTGCTCACCTCATCTGCCTCGGAGTCTCCTCGCGCTGACGGAGCATAAGAACTGCTCTTTACTGTACTTGCTGTACTGGTGCTGGCGCTTGATTTGCTCGAGCTCATGCTTGCGCTGTTATAGCCCACCACTTTTTCAGTTTCCTGGCTCTGTGGGATCTTCTTTACTATAGCGTACTTCTTTTTAATTGGCTCTCGTGGCTCCGCTCCGCTTATCGTCGTTGTCTTCTTCAACGGCTGGACAAGAATCCCAGGGTTTATTTGCCCCGGGGGTTCTCCTGGTCGGGCCGCCCTATGAAGCGGTCTTCTTGGCTGTGAAGGGACAATAGGTACGGGAGCGCGCATACCGGGTGCATGTCTTACAAGCTCTCCCGGGGCCCCTCTGGGAGTCCGCATGGGATTTGGACCTGTATCATTGGGTCCTTTTTCGTTATCGCGTCTTAACCTCGGACGTACACGATTAGGCGGAGTGTACTCAAGGTCACCTTCGCTCCCTGTCTCCCATCTCTTTCTGAGAGGACGCGGTCCATACATGGCCGCCGTTCCTACGGTAGCCTCATTATCGTTGGAAAAAGAATTGCTTCGTTTCCAGCCGGGGGCCGCAGCATACGGGGGAGGTATCCCGAGGGAGTCCATTAGTCCATACGCATCCGTATTAAATCCGCCGCATTCGGCGGCAACGCGCACGGCGTGTGCAAAGTCCGCATCTGTGAAGAATGAACCGTCGCTGCTGATTCCGCTAATTCGGCTCGGGCTGGATGCCGACGAATCATCTTCGGATCCACTCGTGTTCGTTACGGACTCAGCCCATTGCATAATGATGTCGCTCGTGATGCCCTCGAGATCTATCGGAATTGGCTTGGGCTTCGACCGAGATTTTTTCGATTTTTCCGACTTGCTCGCCATAGATTCCAGTTCTCCGTCGTTGGTCGCACCATCTCTCTTTTTACGACGCCGACTTGGAGAGTTGGTGCTCATGGGTTCTGTGAATCCACTTTTGCCGGTTAATCCACTTTGACCTGTCATTCCGCTCATTCCAGTCATTCCGGACATTCCTGTCATACCGCTCATACCAGTCATTCCACTCATGCCACTCATTCCAGTTCTTCCAGTCATTCCCGTCATAGCACTTCGTTCACTGAAAGGCGGAGAGGGGGGAGGGGAACCCAAGCTGCTGGGCGGTGGCTCCACCGGCGGGGGAGGTAGAAGATCTGCCCAGTTGAAAATAGCCAGCCGAGGAGGTGGTTTTAGAGCCTTTCTCTTCCTTGAAAGTGACCCACAACTTGTTGATGTTTTACAACTTCGTTCACTTCCTGGGCTGGAGGGCCTTTCCAAAGCAACCGTCTCAGGTGAATCGGTTTTGCCCGTCTCCTTGGCAACATCCTCTAACTCTTTCTCTCCTTCAACATGTTCCTTATCGTCGTCCGTGCTCTTGGCACCACCAACTGGGTATTTCTTCATCTCCATCTCGGTCTCTTTCAGCACAGCCTCGTATGTTGGTGGAGGCTCCGAGTGGAATGTACTCGTATTGTGCAAGTTTCCGGCCATCTCGAACGACTGGATCTTCAGCTTGGGTTTAGTTTTCTCCGTATCACTGGTATCACTCGGTGTCTGATTAGGGTCCCTTCTCCTGGACTTGGTTCTGTTGGGGCCGCCATCGAGTGTGTAGTCGTAGTAACGAAGTCTCTCTCTAGGAATACTCATTGGAAGAGTGCTATCAGAGGCGCCTCTAGATCCATTTGGTGTCCCACACGCTATAAAAGAAACAAAATGAGTTAACAAATGCGTGTGAACGTAACAAGCCTGCGATAGACTACGAGTAGTACTTCATTTCCTCAGGGATAGTTGCGTAAGAGAAATACCCAAGCGCGTGAAAATTGCTACCCCGAGGAAGGTGACACGCGGAGCAGCGTTTGTCATGCGCGCTTGGACCCCAACACAGCCGTTTTTTGTGTCATCACGCAACACTATCGCACCGCCCAATGCTGAAATTTCAAGTTCTAGCTTTTCGTCGGAGCGGATTCCTTGTAACAAGCGGTTGGCACTAGAGAAACTTGAGTGGACTGTTCCTTTTCTATTACAAAACACAACGATACGCTCTGTACTCCTACCTACACAAACGGTTTGGATACTAGCTTAACGTATTACGTTCATTTACTTACAGCTTGCCGGGGAATCTGGAAACTTGTTGCTCTTGTTCACGTGCTCGTTGTAGCGATTCAGTGAGTTTGGTAAGTTGTTAGGCTTGCTTTGCTCCATATAATTGTTTGCTTCTATACGGTTATTGCTTCCTAGTAAGACAAAGAGAATCACAGCGTTAGAGCGCTTTTCAAACCAAAGCAAAAGTCCTCACACTAAAAAAACCTCACTCACTTGGAACAGCAAAAACGACGAAACGACGAGAAGATTAAAAAAGGTTAAAAAGACACTAAACAATACCCACACCACAACACAAAAGCGAAACAACAAGGGTTTCCGTAACAACAAGAAATACCATCGAGACGAGACCTATAAACCTTGAGACCTATGAACAACAAGACCTAATGGATTTATGGATACAATGTGTTAACAATCTGATAACCGAGAGAAAAAAATGCAAATCCCCGGGAATTGCTGTCGGCTGCATCCTGTTTTTCCAGTACGAATCGGTGAAAGGGTCAAACCATTTCTCAGTGTTTGATATCCCGACAAAACACTCTTTCTTGTGTTGATTATTATTAGCGGAGCTCTCGCGCGCGCGCCAAGCGCGCAGTAAAGCACCATGGGTAAGAAAATTTGGTTATCCAGAAATTTGGGTTCTGGCAAAATCGTCCATCCGTACTTCCTTCCCCCCTGTCCATGTTAGCGGATGTGAAATGTCTTACTAACTTGAAAGTCCAAGGCATATACAAATTATGTTTAACTTGACATTGGACATCCATGTAATAATCAATTGACAGCTGTCAAAATAGGGTATATGATTATATCGTGGGCTCAGGTGCAAAAATCATTGAGGTAACGTGTTTTTTTAAGGTTCTCCGCTGACCAGTTATGGTATTCAAGTGATCGCAGGCACAGAAAAAAAATCCTTTAAAGTTCCCACGTGAGCTCCGCTTTTGGCCTTGGCTAAATCTATATATTAGCTTACGTACCTGATAAATGATTCATAGTAACTTTATTGGAGAAATCAAGGCTGCCGTTTGAGCAGGAGACACTCCTGCCACCTCCGCCGCCGCCACCACAGCAGTTTGCCACAGGTCTCGTGCAGTCAGAAACGGAGCTGTTACTGGAATGGTTGTTACTCAGCTGCTGAGGAATGTCTGAATTACGCTCCTCCATCCAAAGAAACTTGGACGTGCGTGTTCTGTAAATACCCACAAACAATAAGAATTGAAAACTGGTAATAGCCAAAGGTTAGGAATAGAGAGCAAGATCACGTCCTTGCTCCGACGCTGTGCTTTGTGCAATTTCTCGGGGCATAATTTCTTGGACAGAAGGTCCAAACGCGCGTTATCAGATAAAAAGTGATAGACGGTCCAACACGCGCGTGCAAACTTATGCTGTGTACATGCGTGCTGCGAATGCGTAATAGCAACCTGAGGGTTAAGGGAAAATACGGTATTTCAATTTGATAGTTTTGCTTATTTTCACAAAAAGTACACTGGGTGACAGAGACTTTTCAAGCGCGGTTTCCGGTTTCGGTCAAGCCGCTCGCGACTTCGTCCTTAGGCCGAAGATCTGTCGGCCTGCGGCTGACACCTAAGCATCAACCCGCAAGCGAGAAAAAAACTCTGGTACCCGGGATACAGAAAAAGATGAACGATTGACAACGTCTTTCATGTCAAATCACGATCACATAACACTTTCACAAAAATTGCGAAAACGTTGAAAAAAGCCAGGCTGGTGGTTTTGTAGATAATCTAAACGCAGTCTGTTTTAGTATGGCAGTTTTGCCTTTTCGNGCGAGAAAAAAACTCTGGTACCCGGGATACAGAAAAAGATGAACGATTGACAACGTCTTTCATGTCAAATCACGATCACATAACACTTTCACAAAAATTGCGAAAACGTTGAAAAAAGCCAGGCTGGTGGTTTTGTAGATAATCTAAACGCAGTCTGTTTTAGTATGGCAGTTTTGCCTTTTCGGTTAAAATTAGCAGTGTTCTTCCACAGTTTCGAGAACAGTTTATTACTACCCAATTCAGACAGTTTTACGCCAAACTGTTTGGCGCTAAAATTAACTAAATTGATACTGAACTCTTGGTGGTTTCTTTATAGTAAGGAAAAACTTTGAATCAAGCAAAACGGTGGAAGCTATGAATAACACAAAACTAAAACAGTACTTACGTAGGACTTCGAGGTACGTTTTCTACTGGTACAAAGACTGGAAAGAAAAGGCAAAAATTCTTTAGAACTTGCGGGAATCTGTGCGTTTTGCTGACCAACAGAAACGTCTCTTTAATTCATTCCATCACAAGGAAAGAACAACAAAAACAACAACAAAAAGATTGGGCAAGGTCAGGGAACTCCCAACATAACAACACTGTTGTTTTTATCTTTGATTCTTCCCACTTGCTCACATTCAGTTGCCTCTACTAACTATGGTTAACCCTTTAATTCTCAAAAGACGTCAGAGTCACATTCAACAAAAATCCCAAATTTCAGACAGGTTTTCGATGTAACAAACCCTCGATATAACGAACAAATTTCCTCAGTCCCTTGGCACTTCGATAAATCGAGGGTCCACTGTAAATAAATAGTACCATGTGAAAGTACTGCTGAAGAGGATTCACTTGAATGGTACCACCACAGGATTTCGTCCACAGTCTCAAAAGTTAAAACCACCTTATGACACTTTCCTCTTTCATTCCCAGAGGGAAGGAGTTTTGACTAAAAAAGACTAAAACGTTTTTAAATAATACTACTGATGATGATGATGATGATGATGATGATGATGATGATGATGATGATGACGACAGTGATGTTGAGGATGAGGATGGAGATGATAATAACAATGAACTGGATGGCTCTTCGCTTGAACTATCACACTAACTTACTACTTTGGTGATCCGTTCTGGCTTCAGAAGTCCAACAAAAGCTGCAGTTTTGAGGCCAGAATGATACTCAGACACCAAACACTTCAACCAGGCCGACTGAATGCTTACTTCAACTTTATTTCAACTTCTCAAAGTCAGCGTGCGCATGTAACGTTCGTCTTTGTTTTGATTTTTATTTAAACGTTACATTGTGCGTGCTTTTTTCAGTTGCTTTAAAACAATGAGGAAGAGGGGGCACCCTCGAAACGGCTGTTTTTTTGTGCTCTTTTTTCACACGTTTTAATAAACTTTGTAAAAATCATAAAACTAAAAATAAAAAATTACCAACTACACAAAAAATAATTGGCAATTGGGTATTTGAGAATACCAAACAATGCAAAGATTTGCCTGATGACCACCAAACAATAGCTTCCTATTGCCCAATGGCCGATGCCCATAGCAACCTTTAGTGAACCAGCTATATACAATATAATAAGTAAATATAACTATTGTAAAAATAAATAAATGCTGTTACAAAATATGAATTATTGGTATAATATAGGTTTGATTACCTTTTGCGGGAGACTTTGCCTTCTTTTTGCTGCGTCTTTGCCTGTACAACAGCACCACAATGATCAGAAGTATGATCCAAGCTACTGCACCCATGGTAGCAATGAACCATGGCTGGCGCATGAACAGTTTCATCTTATACCATGTGCCTTCTGTCTCTGCTCGAGCCTCCACTACACTGACCTCTCCACTGGGAGGGACCATGTCTGCTGCTGGAGTGAGGCCTTTTCCACCACCCAGAATAGTACCAGCTGTGTGGCAACAGATTTATTCAGAAAGGTTAATATTTAAAAATCTCTTATAAACTTAATGAAAGCTTTCAATTTTTATCGAGCCTCACTTCTCTTTACTGAGCCCTTCACCCCCTACCCTTGCCTAAAATTACTTTCAACCAGATAGCACAATCAGGGTTGCCAATCACTAGAACAAAGAATTCATTTGGGTTTTTGGCAAGCCATAGAGACATGTCAAAAACATCCTGTGCGTCCCATTCCAACTGCCTTCTTGGTCGTCCTCTTTCTCTTTTCCCATCCATCTTTCCCGCCAAGAAGATCTTTCCCAAGCCATTACTTCCTTCCAAACGGCCAAAATAAATCAGCTTTTGTTTCTTTATAAAGATCTCTAGCCAAGCTCAAATATCTTCTACAGGTACCAATAATGAATTATTGAATTCCAAGGCGAGAAAATTTTGAAGGAAATTTGGCTAAACCATATGGGTCAAAGTTCAGTGACTTAAACCCTGTGACCGGCATCAAGTTATCCCTAATAATACCATCATACAATCAAGAAGGAAGAATATGAGAATAAATAAAATAATCATTCAAGGGAAAATGCTTTGATCTTTTATCAAATTATCTCAAATAATTATTTAAGGAAATGCATGTGATCAGACTGGAGAATTTGTTTATGGATACTGGAGCTTGAAGGGTTAACCCTTTAAGCCCCAATATCCACAAATAAATTCTCCATACTGATCTCTATACATTTCCTTACAGAATTAGTTGGGAGAAATTGATAAAAGATCAGAGATTTTTCTCTTTGTGATCATTTGGTTGATTCTCATAGATGTTGTACTTAACAATCTATGGATATTGTTAGGAGAAAATTGATGTTGGTCACTATTGGGACTTAAAGGGTTAAAGCAACCTGAGGTTGCACTCTATCCGTTACTCACGTTCTGCATGCGTTGTAGCAAATACTGGAACACTGATGGGTATAGAATCAATGTCACTTGTCACTTGGACTTGGATTTTATAAGTAGTATTGGCTTCAAGTTCTCTTAGCAGATACGATGAGGTTGAAAATAAAAAGGTTCGATTGTAGTTCAGTTTATGAGAGGCTCTCTTTTTCCAGAAAACAACCACACTTGATATGATGACTGGTCTGGAGAGCTGCCAAAGTAAAACATTCAACGTTAAAATTCTTCTCTCTTTCTTCTTAAGCTACGTTTACACAGTACCAGTCGAATTTTCGACCAGTTGAAAAATAGGACTGGACACTTTGTTCACATGGAATCGTTCCAAATTTTTGCACTGTTCACACGGAACTGTCGACCCGTAATATTTCCAAGCAAAGTGAGTAATAACATTACTTGTAAACCCATGTTGGCAATATCTGCTTGCAATTTTCCTCTCTTTTTCCAGGTGAGTAACCAATTAAGTGTCCATGCAACCACGCATTTGCTGTACAAAAATTTAGACGGTCACCATGTTAACCTCTTGCCGTTCAAATTTTCCACCATACTGGTAAAAAATTTGACCTTGATTTTAATGATCAAATTTTTGTTCGGCCAGTACCGTGTGAACATAGCCTTAAACTGGGGCGTAGCATCACTGAGTGACCAGCACACCAGACTTACAATCCACAGAATACTTGTGTTAGAAGTATTTTAGAAAATCAAAATACGTTCAGGATCAATCAAGAGTTTCATTTTGGGCACTGAAGCAACATGAAGAAGGATAACAACCCTATTTTGACCAATCAGAAAAATCTAAAGAAAGTGCTGTTATGTTGATGGAATACAAAAATGTTTTACTTTTCACCGTGATGAAGTTTAACAATCGATTAATAAGAAAAATATGTGGAATTGAAGAAAATTCACACCACGAGTGTATTTTTAGTCAATAATTTACTAAATCATTTTAGTACTTACAGTCCACGAAATATTAATCCGGTCTGATCCAACGGGAACTGGATAAAAATCAATCTTCACATTACCACCAGGATAAAATGATGGTGTGGGATCTAAAAACAAAACAGATATTTTCTCAGTTATGAATGCTCCACATATTTACTAAAACAACAAAACCAAGGTTTCTTTAGTCAACACAGAAGTACAAGCTGGGTGTCAAAGGTGATTTTAAGAGTATTTTGAATTGCCACAAGTCATGAAGTTTGAGACAGTTTTTTACTTTTAAAAAAGCACTTTACAGGAGTTCTAACTGGGGACAGTATTTTTGGGTCTCCAGCTGGAGATGGGACCGCCATTTTATGTGGTCATCCGAGCCACGTGAAGATCTATCTGCTTGCACTGCAAAGGAAGTATCCTTGCTTCTCAGTTCTTTTAAGCCCCTGAGTATTAGCCAAACCCTGGTAATTGAATCATGACCTCCTGCTCTGCTCACAAGTGCTCTACCGACAGAGCTATTGCTTCCAAAGTTAACCAGCCTATTCTTCTCAGCATCAAAAGTGAAAGCAAGACCTAACTTACCAATTGCAACCACAATCTTCTTGTGTGTCTTCTTGACCACTTTTTGGGAGCTTTGAGTCAAAACAACTCCATTTTGATCAACTGCTTTAACACTGAAAACATAACTTGTGTCCGGTTCCAGGCGGCGTACTGTGTACTTATTAGCCTTGAGTGAATCCACAGCCACCCTCCACTGCTCATTGCTGTCCCTCTTTTGATATTCCACAATGTAAATGACAGTTGATGCATCAGTGAGTGGGACAGAACTCCACACAAGGGACACTGTGTTGTGTGTAGCAGCAGTTGCCACCAGATCCAGAGGAGCAATTGTTGGTTCAGTAGTGGGTGTTGTAGTAGGAGGAGGTGTGGTAGTAATAATGACCTCTGTAAAAAAAAATCATGTGTAAATTCATTGTTGAGTCTGTAAAAAAAAGGGTTAAAATAATTATTTGTTGTGGGGAAGTACATGAATAATATGCTGTTTGCAGGGCTTGAAAAAATTCCCATCCAGTAGCCTGGGACAACTAGATTTTCTTGCTGGGCAAGTACTTTTAAGCTCACTTGCCCAATGGGCAAGGAAGGGTCCTAGCAAATCATCCTCTGACAAAATCATTTACTAAGACAGCAAGAAGTGGCCCTGGACAAGCAAAATGGGAGAAATGCTTGCCCCAAGAACAAGCCGGGATTCAAGTTTTTTCAAGCCCTGGTAAATTGCTGGTTAGATCCTGGAGTTTTAAATGCTTATTGCTGGTGTTCATCAGGTGGAAAGGTTGGTTCCTTATAAAGCAGAATGCTTCACTATGAATACTTTGAAATCAACAGCCACAACTGAGACATTTTGACCCTCACTGTTTTGGCGAGTTTTTCCCTTAGCAGTCTGATACGGTACAGCTCTCCAGTTGTTGCATCTTTTGATCATGGGCATCCATGCATCTCATGCTAATGAACGCATTGCTGCTTACACAGTTTAGGGCAAACCTTCAAGCTGGGCACCGCAGGTTTCTATATGCCTTGGAGGAAGATTTAGCCCCCTCTACCCACTCAAAGTAGTCAAAGCAATAATATTGTTTAATTCTTGCAAATTTGATAACAGGAGAGCTGAATCACGCCATTGTAACTGGCTGTAGCTTCTAATGTACGTAAGTATTTCTTTTCTACAAACATTTCAGGGTCACAATTTAAATGCTTACTCTGAACAAGAAGTTCTGCTTCTTTTGAGTGTGTTCCAAACTTGCTACTAGCAACACATTTGAATCTTCCTTGGTCATTAAGGCTGATGTTTAAGATACTCAGACGAAATGTTTGTCCCGACTGTGTCATCACAGTAGCTGAACTATTCTGGAGAGGGGCAACATCATTGTGTCTAAACCAAGCAACAGATGGTTTTGGGATGCCGTTCACTTTGCAAGAGAATTGCACATTGGTTCCCTCAAAGACTGACTGGGTTGATGGACCAGAAACAACTGATGGGGGAACATCTGTTGATCCTAAGGAGAAATAACACATGGTTTGATCCACCTGCCACTAGAAATTCCTCCCCTCCCCCCGCCCCAAAAAAAAAAAATGCTCAGACTTAAACCCTACTCAAGCTTTTTTCTCTAACTATTTGGCCAAAAGGAGGCAGAACTACCCAAAAACGTTGTTTAAACGGCAAGCAATATGCAGGCTCTTGTTCCTGGTGCAAGATAGGTTTTGGACGAAACAGTGACATTGAAAGTTTGACTTTCACCTTCTGCTTTTGTAACATGTATCATTGATGTGCACGTGGTTGTAGAGACATAATAGGGCCATTTATACGAGGAAAAATAAGACGCGTGTTACATAAGACGCGTCTTAAATAAGACACGAACTGTACCATTTATACGAGCATGTCTTATCTAATAAGACGCGTCTTAGCTAAGCCGCGTCTTATTTTAGACGAAATGTGCTGTTTATATGGAAAGTTCGCGTCTTATTTAAGACGCGTCTTATGTAAGACGCGTCCTATTTTTCCTCATATAAATGGCCCTATTATGGAGCACATACGGATTCAAAATGATGGCCATAAGATAACATACTGTAAACATAGATACTTGCACATAATATTATGAATAACCTGTTAGTACTATCATGTTTGAAGTAAGCAAGCCACTGGGTAAAAGGTAGAACACAAACAAACACACAAAAAACTACTCTAAATTGGCTGATTAACCAGGAGAGAGCCATGGACCCTGTTTAGCACGCAAGGTTAAAACAAATAATATTCAATGTAGTGCTTTCCTTTTCATCCATGTCAATTACTTTCTGTTTTCAATACTAAGAGTTGACCTGCACAACGGCAGGTGCAACAAACTACAAGGTTGTGCTCTAGCAGTACCTGGTGGCCCCAGCAACTAACATATTGTACTCTTGGGCACCTAAGAAATCTTCAGTGGATTCGTTTGCGGTGTACGTGTATAACTGTCACATTTGACCTCTGAAATTTTTTAGGGTTTTTGAGCTTACATGTAATTCAAAAAATCTCTACTGGCAAGTGTAATGGCTATATGTGTATGCTACAAATGAACATACCTTATTGTTTTTTTTTTCCCCACAGAAATCATATGCTGACCTGGATTGTGTCACAAGTTCAGAGCACTGGGCTCCCGTTCAATTTTTCTTAGAGCACAGCCTTGAATGATCCCAACTAGTTTTAACAAAGAGGCACAAAGCAATAACATATCAAACCTACCAATGACAGTCAGTTGTGCTTTTGCTTCAGTGATTCCATTCGGACTTACAGCGAAACAAACGTAGACGCCCTCATCATCTTTCCTTATGTCGATAATTTCAAGTTCACCGGATTTTGATACAAAGAAGTGACCTTGATAATTTTCGTTTGGAAACATTGGCCTTGAATCTGGTCTTTTCATTTGCCAGAAGACTGTTGGCTGGGGGTCACCTTGAGCGACACAACTAAACTTGGTAGAGTTGCCTTCAAAGACAATCACATCTTTGGGACCTTCTGTTATCTTTGCTTTGGCTGAAAGAAAGAAGGATGGTAAATGAATTCACTTATCAAAATCTTCGTATTCCACCCCTTACCTGTCCCTTTTACCATACAAGAAATGAGGAGGTCACACAAAACACACCAAGGTAGATGTACTACATAGTACAGTGCTCGACTTTCAGAAAAAAAATTTGGGGCCAGCTGACCCCAAGTTTTCATTTTTGGTTGCCAGAACAAGTATTCTGGTCGCAAAAATTATATTTCAGAATTAATACAATACAATAAACTTAAAATCTTTCACTTGGCCTTAACAGAAAAAGAGTGCTTAAGACTTCCTATTGAACTTTCTTTCGAACGGTTTGCGCTTGAGGCTCGATTACCAGCCAGTGTTTGGGGAAATGAGCCCACACTCAAGCGTAAATCTCCTTAAACAGGTATTCAAGCTTAAGGTTAAGGAAATCATAAGAATAATCCGTTAGAGTGTTGAAATCGTTAAAGCGTTTAGACAAATTGTTAGAGGGTTTAAACAAACCATTATAGTGTTTGGGCAAAACGTTAGAGCGTTAGAAAAACTGTTAGCCATCCGTTAGTTTTGTGAAGGACAATGGATTATCATTAGTGTAAGTTTTCCCAAAGAAGAAAGTCACCTTTCTTGGGGGCCAGGTTGATGACCAGGCATGAAAATTTGGTCGCCACTGAGTAAAACCTGGTCGCATTGGCGACCCCAAAGGTCGCAACGTCGAGCGCTGTAGTAATATACTAAAATCCTGAATTGCACTGTAACAAACCCATTAGACAGCTTTCCTCTGCCAAAGGAGGACTAAGCAAACAATGGAGGGATGGGAAAAAGAAAGTTTGAAGTGATTTCATGAAGCAGAATAATAAATCTTTAATCCAATGTTTGGGTAGATAAGAGATACAGACATTTCACTTGCTGCTCAGCTTTTCTCTAGTGCCTATGGGGGATAGAAAAATAATATGCAAATTGTCTACGCATGCTATACTCCACTAAGGTCACCGTGGTAGGTGGGAATAATAGCTGGAGCTGCATATTTCCAGGATGGTGATTTATAGAGAGTGCAGAGAAATTCTAATTCCTTATCCAGGGCCTGATCTTAAATACAATCATTATTACTGTTTCAAAGTGTGGTTGAGGAGTTCAACTTGGGACTACCAGGAACAATCCAGCAAGTGGTTACCCTGAGAAAACAGCTGACATTGGGTGATGCCACCAACAGTTTCCCTGCCAAATGACATTGGTTGAATCAAATTTCCTACACGGCACGACCAATCAGAAGCACTACCCAGATCTAAGTAGTGACACGTCATCAGTATGGAATTTCTGCCCTCGTTTCCACACGTCGTTTGGCGGGGAAACCAGTGGTAGCATTGCCAAATGTTGGCTGTTTTCTCAGGCTATCAAGTTTTCAGAGTAGGTTTCAAATTGGCGCCTCAGGATCCCAAGGCCAGCACTCTGAACGCTTCGCCATGCTGCCTTGAATGATACTTACCCTGAACGTCCAGGGTAGCTTCAGCAGTCAGTACTCTTGGTCCAATAGTTGCTTTACAAACATAAGTTCCCTCATCTTTAAAATCAACATCTGTTATTTTTAGCTGGCCCTTATCAATAACATGCCGCCCGCTGGGTAGCAATCCATCCTTTTTTTGCCATGTCACGTCATCTTGTGAGCCACCTTCATAGTTACACTGAAATGTTGTGGTATTCCCCTTGTAGGCAACTTGCTGAGATGGTATGACAGTTAGGGGATTTACAAACTCTGAAAGTAAAAAAAAAATGAGAGAGAGATTAAGACACAATCCACCAGGAAATTGAGTAATTTTAATTTTTAGTGGACAAAAACCTCGTACCAGAATAATTTATAAGGAATATTGCATTCTTTTTTTACCTGAATTTTTTTCAAGGGCTAAAGATGTAGTAAGTCATCTGTAGTAACACCAAAGAAAATTTCTTATGGGAGTCCGAGAAAATAAATTTCAAATTTCACAAGAATTGTGAAAACACAGGTAAAATTCTGAATTATGTTTCATATATAAGATGTCATTTTGTGAGTATTGACAGTTATTTTGTTGGGCTTTCATAAGAAATTTTCTTTGGTGTTATTACAGATGACTAATTACATCTTTAGCCCTTGAAAAAAGTAAAAAAAAGCATGTGATATGCTTTAAATTATTCTGGTACAAGATTTTTGTCCGCTGAAAATTAAAATTACTCAATTTCGTGACAGATTCTGTCTTAAGAGACTTTGGAGTGACATAAATGTGCTTTCCACAACTACTAATCAGACAACAAAATTTAAACCTTTCTTTTCAACTTTTCAGTCTATGCTTTGGGAATTCAAGTATTCAAAACAGGATCCCACCTAAACGGCGTGGGAAGAAGATCTTTTTTTGCATATCTAAGACAGTGTTATGTCATTCAAGGAAGAGTACCTTTAACAGTAAGAATGGCTTGCTGGCTGTTTCGTGTCCCAAGTTGATGAACTGCTCTGCACACGTAAGATCCTTGGTCGGCTTTAGTAACTGAAGAGATTGTCAGGTTTCCTTTTGGTGAAATGACTGTTCTACTACTATTTGAAATCACCTGCCAATCATGTAGCCAGGATACTGTAGGCAGGGGACGCCCTTTTGGAGGAGAACAGGTAAGGACCACGGTGTCACCAGTAAAGACGCTTTGGTTTTTAGGTTCAGATCGGAAGGTGGACTTGAAAGCTGGTTGATAGAATACATGCTGTTAAAATCAGGCTAAATTCACAAAGCACCAGACAAATTTTTGACCAGCCGAACATTTGTGCATTTAGGTGCTACTTTCAAATGGAACCACCTTAATTGCACCAAAATTTATATGCCTGGCCATTCAAAGTTCCCAAAAACAAAGTGAAAATATTGAACAGTTCCATGTGCACAATGTGGCTGGTCAAACTTTGCAGCCAGTCAAAAATTTGAAACAATGAACACTTTTCTTGTTTTAATCCCTGTGTTCAACCAACCACAACTGGAAGTTTCTGAGCTTTTGGAACCCAAATGAAGACAACCATTATGATTTCTACATTGTACTCTTTACTCTCTAACTGGAAAATGTAAAAAGCAATATTGTAAAAAATATATATATATAAAATAACTCACTTCCGACTATTAAAGATGCATTTCTGCTTCTGGTAGTGCCATAAGAATTGGATGCCACACACTGGTAAATGCCTGCATGAGTCCGTTTACGATTTCTTGTCACTCGAAAAAAGTGTAAGCTTCCATCATCCATGGTTACTCTCTTTGTGTGATCTTCAACTTTTACACCATTATGAAGCCAATGGATCGTGGATTTGGAAGGTTCTAAGACACCACATTCAAGGTCAGCTGGTGAGTTTTTCTCAGCTACAACATCAGAGGGCTGTTTAATAATAACTGGTGGGCGTCCTGTGATAAAGAGATGAGAATTATATACATGGGTACAGCATGCAGAGAAAGTAGGATCTAATAGCCCGGGGCTATTTAAGGGGTATTGAATTCTGTTCTTAAGATGCCTGATAGGCAAGCAGAGCTTTTTGGGGAATTCAAATTACAAAAGAACTGTAATCAATCTTGCTTGCTCATCAAAATTTTTTCCAGGCATTTTGAAATGCCTTTTCTGCTGGTAAGTGCTTTCTTTGCACCCTGGGCTATAGTATATTGGATCTGCATTACTTATTCAATCAATAAAAATATCACAACATGCTTGGCACATTTGTTAAATACAGTCAACTCTCGCCTTGCGGACAGCCCGTCATAACGGACACCCCAATAATACAGACAGCAGCTAAATCCCTGGCAAAAATAAAATACAGATGTTTGACTGAAAAACACTCCCGCTATTACCGACTCTTGCTTATGACGAAAACCAACTCAAGGTCCCTACAGTGTCCGCAATAAAGGGAGTTGATTGTATTACAGGTGTATGGAAAGTAGCTACTTATATCGAAATTTGATATAAGCATCTACTAATAGGCTGCAAAGGTAAAAAGGTTAAGGTAAAGGCCCCTTGTTTTATGTCAGTAGCTTTTAATAGTCACCACCTAACTAACCAGCAGAGGCCAACAGCACAATCACTTTACTCCCCTTTTATTAATCAGTGGGTGCTATAATTTTATAAGGTGACTGATCAGGGGTGTCCCTAAGCGCCGGCTGATTTCACTGGCTGAAAAAGGGCTTGCCCACAGTTCAGACTGCTCTTGAAAACAAAAACAAGGGGTAGTTTCAGAGAAAAAGAAGCTCAACAATAAAAAAGCCTGTTAGCTTTACCTTAGCAACATCCCTGAGTCTGACTGGCTATCCAGCGTGCAAAGAAAGTCGTGTCCAATAGCCCAGGGCTAGTGGATTTTGCTATTTCTTTTTGCTATACTCTTTGTGGAGCTACATACTTTTCTTTTTCTTTTCTTTACTTTTTAAAATAGTCCATTTTTTATTCAGTACCCTTAATTCACATGGTGTATCCTATATTGCCAGGAAGCCTATACCGTATAATCCCTCGGCTTCTATATAGGCTTCCTTGTCATTACTGCTTTGAACATTATTTTGCAAAATAATTTATTTAGAATAGTGTCTATCATCTTTAATATATTATAAATTTCTCGTATAAATTCTTATGTATTCTAATGTGGTTAATAGCAAAATGAACGAATGAATGAATGAATGAATGAATGGAAGAAATACTGGACCTAAGAAGTTAGCAGCAATCAAACCTACTCTTAAGATAGTAAATATTTTTAACAAGTGATTAACTAAAGAGAGTAGTCTACAAGTTTTGGAATGCTTACCTTGGCTGGCAACGTAACTTATCCATGAACAGCATAACATAAATGTGAGAAGAGAAGAACGTGCGATTTTCCTATGCCACATTCCTACGATATTTTTATTACGAGATCTCTTCTAGCAACAGAACATGGTTGATAAATGTAGCTGCATTCTTTGATAAAACTGTGAGAAAGAACAACAATAATGATTGTCATTCAGCAATTTATTCTTGACAGAATCATTCTTGTTAAGTAATCATCATTCTTGCCTCAGTGGTTTTTAAAGCACACCATCAAACACAATGTTCTTAATATCATGCAGTAGTCTTGCTGAAAATAAATAGGCACTTTGCCCAAGTGTATATATTTTAATATCACTGTGTACATCATGATACTATTCATAGTCAAATGTTATTTTTATCATTTACTTGCATCTACTTTCAACACATTGGTTACAAAAATGCAATGAACAAAAAAACCATGAAAATTCTTTCGCTGAATCAGTGAAAAAATGAAACTCTAGAGAGTACACTGGAATTCACAGTATGAATATTGTGAAAAATAATATTTTAAATACGTGTTATTTTGTACTGACAACAATGTATCTACACTTAACAATGTATGATTGCCACAAAAATCAGGTTTTGAAATTCCCTGATTTCTTTCCAACAAAATTAGAATATAATTTCCCTGACCAAATAAATACAAAAATGAAAGATCTAGTAGCAGGTAGCATCCGTCCTAAAAGCTTACCGTTTCATTTTTCTGTCACGTTCTTTTAAGAATATGCAGGTTTTACCTCTCTTGAGAGCGACAATTCCCCTTTTTCGTGAACAAAATTAAAGATCCCCAAGATCATAGTGACTGGAACTACTTCTTCCAGTGTTCAAGAGTATTATTAAATCAATGGTATATTATAATAATATTTCAACTTCCTGACTTTTCTTCAATATTTCAATTTTCCAATACTGAACATAAAATTCCCTGACATTTCCCTGTCCGTAATGAATTTTTTTTTCCTGACCACTTCCTGACCTGTGGCAACCATGGGATGAACCTGCCCATAATTCTTGCCATTGGAAGACAGATATGGCAAGTTAACTGACTGTATCACACATGTTGTCACAGGATGATCATTGAAAGGACATGCCATGTACAAAGTCAAATATGACAAATTTGATTCCAGTTTTACTTCGTTTTCATCCTATGGAAAGGAATCATCCAGTCATTTGCCTAATGCATAACAATTATTAAGCTACAACATACAACATCCTTGAGGGAGTTGTTTAACTTTGTAAAACACAAAAACCTTACTGGGACTAGACTACTATAAATATTAAAAAGAAAGGAAAAACAGAATGGATTCTAGTATTACGTTGTTATCAACCAGGACCCATTTCAAAGTCGACCTTCACATGAACTGAATTTAAAACTGATAAGGACTCATTTGCATTCTTTTCAGAACATGTGAAGGTCCACATTTTAAAAGGGTAAATAGTGGCCCTTTACTCTGTGGTAAAGGTAATTGACAAAGATGTTTTGTGCTGTGTTAGACCAAGCACTGACATAACACATCACATGGTTTCTTGGAACTGAAAGGAACTGTGTCACAAAATTTATCACCATTCAAACAGTGGGAACTGTAACCAAATTGAGTGAAACATAAAAATAACTGCTCAAATTAGAAGATTTATTTGCAGCTTACACATATAGCTGTCACATTTGCCTTAGAAGTTTTTACTGTTTTTAAGTTTGAAAATAATGAAAATTCCAGTGAGTAAAAATGATGTCTATACATTTACATGTACCCTTCACTGTTCCAAATGAATCCGCCCTATAAAAACGTTGCACTTACATTATAGTGGAAAAAAAGATAGATCCATGTACGAGAATAAAAACCGCTAAACTTCACAGAAATTAATGGCAAATAAGGTAAACACCATCCAGATGTAGGAGTTTTCCACATGAGTGGTAAGGGGCCATAATTTTGACTGAAATCTTTATAGCTGCCTAAGGGCAGCTCTTTCCAGTTATCAAGATTTTTCATGATTTCTGCAACTTGAAAGATAAGGTGTTTTCATAATCAGTTATCATTTCATCATTGTACTTTCAGGATGATAGTGGGACCACAATAGAGATTTAGAAAGCTGGCTCTTTTATGTAGGTAACAGGAAATGGATTTTTTCACTCACAGAGAAAGGCCCCTGCCACAAGACCAAAGGAAAGACAACAGTGCCTTTCTGTGTTTTTTATTATGTTGTACATTCCGATGGTGCTGTCTTTTGAAGTCTGTGAATAAAATCTCGTGTGTGGTAATTCAAATGAAACAAAGAAGATTCCCTTGTCTATCCTTATGAATTTTACTGACATTGGTGGTCCCCTATAGAGACAGACATAATTTTAACAGCTTTGTAAACACTACAAATAGCCCACTGGCATCTAGTATAAACAAGACGAAACGTGGGGGAATGTAGCCTCGTTTGTAGAGATACTTTTAAGGGGTGTGTAATTATAAGTTTATCTGAATGTATCGGACTTGGCCACTGATTACTAGTGTTTTAAAGTCGCTACGTAATCATTTTTTTTAATTCGCCATTACAAAACACTCAAGTAAAACGACAGAAACCCAGCATGGCTTTGTAAACTTAAATTCTAATTAGCTACTATTTGCAGCGTAAAATCAAAGTTTCTTTTCTTTCCTTGACTGAAATACTACTGCTTTGCAAAATATCACCGTGTGTTTGAAATCAGCAAGCGTGCTGATTTTATCGCTGAAAGCTGCCAGGATCGAATGACCCAAAAACCCAAATCAAAACAAAAATGTGCTTTTCTTGGCGTTTCATTATTTATCTAAAAGCAACCTTGCTCTGTGAAGCCACTAATTGGGCGCAAAGAATAATAAGTTATCCAATATTCTGCCACAGGAATCATAACTCCAAGTAACACATGTTGTTCGACGCAACGAAGACAAAGGAGGGTCATAAGTTATAAAAAACAATATAGGTAAAAATAGGAGCTGAAGTAAATAAGAAGAAAAACATCAGTAAACAGCACTTGTAAATAAATTATCATTGAAGGGGAGAGTAGAATTTAAGTTAACAGTAGGAAAACTGTGAAGAAAATGATATAGAACGAGCGAAGATTTGTAATCTCTGAGTGACTGTAATGATTGATAACCAAAGCAACATATTCAAGATGTTCTTGTAATTTCTGTATTGAAAAGATGCAAAATGATAAGATACAGGAGACAATGAGTTAGTGTTGGTTCATTTCGAGCAATGCAAAGTTCAATTTTAATCAAAGTGGCATAATTATTTTCTCACCGACAGTCATGCCATTATTTCATATAAAGAACTGTTAACATAATTTTCAGATAAGCTTACTTTGCCATTTGGAGATTTTTCTCCAACGAAACCTTCCAGAAGCTTAACTTGCCCTGAAAGTACTAGAGAACGGAGTTTTCTTTGATACACAAGTAGCTGAGCTTGTTCTCGTGCTCTGATTTAAGCTTAATGTGAAGTTTTTCTGTTAAATACGTTACCAGACAATATTGTACTAAATATGAACAACAGTTTTGACCACTAGCCGAACAAAATCTTCTTATAGTCAAAGCGTACTAAGTGCTTCTGTACCCAAAAATACATGCATAATCCTGTACTTATCGACCTTGCACGTTTGACAAGTTTTCACAGAAGCATACCACAAAATCAAATTAAAGGAAAACTTGGTAAAGCGCACTCTCACGTGAAGTTTATAAGGACAAACTAAAAATTATTTCACGGTTATATTGAAGAAACAAAAGCTTTCATGCTCACGTTCGTATGACAGAAAGTATCAAGAAACTGGCGCGACCTTTTACCACGGATTGCATTAAGACAAATTACACAACAAATACGAGGAACTTGGCAAATACAGCACAAAACTAGACACACTTGAAAAGATGACTGAAATGTTCATAGAGATTAGAATATATACACAGAAATTACCGTTTAGGGAGCGATGCTTGTTACTTCGATGGCTCTTCTATGATAGGTTATGCTTTACATTTCAACTACAGACGACAAAAAATGTTTCAAACGCGGCAAACTCGTGAAAAACATATGAAGACTTCACACACACTGCCGACGCAAACCTTTGCTTGAAATTCAACACTCTCCTTTTGGGCGACCTTGTGACACATGTCAATCATTGGCGGCATGTTCACAAGGCACCATTATATTTTTTGTCTACTATTTTCGAAATTTCGCCGGTCTCAAAGACAATAGATATCGGATCTTCAGATCGAACTGTTTGTATCCACAACGGTTTAAACCTGACTTCTTTGAGAAGCCTTTAAGATACCGCAAAATAAAATTTCGAAACCTTCAGTAACAGCGCACAGCTAGAATTTGGCAACCGAACGTAACTTCCGGCGGAAATGGAATTTTCCAAATGACCATACATTTTGAGAAATTTGATCAAATTATAAATACGATTTTAAAAGGCTTTCCTATTGACCCAGTGAAGTATCTGTTTGCTTTAATCTCGACCCTAAAACACTCTGCTTTTGACAAATTACAAATTTATCTAATTTTCCTGATGTAAGAACCTCGAACCGCGTATTTTCAAATCACAATGTTTTCATTTACACAGGTAGGTGACTTCCGTCAGGGTGTGGTGTAAAAATTCTACAACTTGATAGATGAGTTTTCGATTCCTGCCATCGCCAAAAATCTTGGCTTAGTTTCTTCAGAAATAGTTTTTCGAATACCGCAAATTTTTCTGAGCTTTTTGGGCCCGACAAGACGTCGATGCGACTCAATTGTAAGAAGTCTACGAAGCTTAAACTATTCAATTTTTCAAAAGAGAAATATAAGACTGAATGCAATAATCCATAAGCTTGAGACTGCAGCCTACCTGATAATATGCCTACGTTTCGTTCCCGACTTGTGGTTATTTTGTAATAAGGATTTGCGGTATGAGAACTCCTTTGTTTACACATAAGCCAATTACATCGACCCAACAATTTACCGCGCCCTCTTCCGCTTTGAGAACGTTTTTAACGAAAAGAAGATTCAGGTAAGAGAAAGAGAAAACAGACAAAAATTGTTTCAGATGCCATTGGATATTGGCCAAGGATCTATAAGACGTCCCATTTTTTTTTCGAGAAAGGAAGAAAAGAAAGACACGAGAGTTTGAAAACAAGGACGTTAACGTAAATTGTCATTTTCTCGTAATTCTTTTAAGGCTTCTTCCCTTTTTTGCTACTTTGATTATTTGTCTTTTTTCTTGATATTTGCATGGCTACTTAGTGTTTACTAGCCTGAGAAAACAGCCGACTTTTCGCGGCGCCAATACCGCTGGTTTACCGTTCATTAGAGTCGCCAATCGATGTTTGTTTATTCGATGACCACCTTGTACTTGGGGGCTGGGAGGAGCCATGAGTCACAGCTGTATCAGGTTATACTAGGCTAGAGGCTATGAGGAAATTAGATGGGTGGTAGAATGGTGACAGGTCATTTCGCCAACGTCTCAAGACGTTTCGCCCACGAAACAAAATGTATCTACCCCCCGAGGGGGGAGTACTCCCCTATAAAAGTGGCGGGGGTGCTCGTCGTACCTTTTAGGGGCTTAAATTTGTGGATTGATACCGCTTAGGGTACTAAAGCCTAAAATGACTGCTGCTAGAGTTCGATGCGCTTCATGAAGAAAAAGGTTTATGACAATACTTTTAAAAAGGCCTTTTAATTGAGAGGAAAGTGTTCGAAAGTAGTCTTTATTACCTATTAAAATTTGCAGTGCCAGTTATGTTATTTGTTGTTGTTGAATTGGTAACTCTTAGGGGTGGAAATAAATTTGAGACACGCTCATATAACAAGATTCTGGTGCCTTTTAGGGGTGTCCTCGAAATTTTTCGACGAGCAGTCACGTCACTTTTTTAGAGGAGTACCCCCGCGGTATACACCACATTCTTTTAGGTATGACACGTCAAAGTCCAAAACATATGTGTATAACTCGTTCTTTAAGCCATTATTTATGTTAAAGAAGTTGGCCGAAACTGACCTAGCAATTTGGCGAAACAGACCTAAAATACGTTGGCGAACAGGACGTTTGCGATGCGACTCGTAGGCGAAACGACCTTTAAAGGGAGGGAAGGTCAAGAGACGTCCTTATACACTTATTCAATTATGTCAGAGACTAAAGCACAGACAATGAAAAATTTCCTTTGTTTGATAACCTTTCACCCATTTTTACAGACTCTACTTGTTTCTCCTGGGAGTAATTTCTGAACAGGGGTGTTTGGTCCTTGAAGAAAGACAACTATTACTTTCTCGGACTGAGAAGTAAAGCAAGAAAATTGTGTATGAAATAAAACTTCATAAAAAAAAGAATGTGCAGGGTAGCGAGTGTCTCATTTGTACTGATTACTACGTACCTCGAAAATTTTATAGGGCTGTTAGACAGCATGCTAAGGTATAAGCGTAATCCCTACTAATCCTTATTTTGTGCGTTTCGTTTGGGATTAACATTCATAAGTTTAATTGGATTTTTTTTTTGTGGTGTTTTTTTTTTTTTACAGTATCTGTAAACATGCACAGTTAATTTTTCATATACAGTAACTACAAGTAAATAAATGAAATATTTGCGCTAAAGTTAATGCGCGAAAGCTGGAACGTGTTGCTATCTAGACATGACCCTGGGAATGAGATTACCCATAACTCCTTGCAAAGTGACCGGAAGTGACGAAGGGTACTCGGAAAACAAGATGTCCGCCTCACTTTCTTAGAACGTTGGGAAAAGAAAGATGCAGTCGGTCATCTTCTGCATTTTTTGCATTTTTGCGTTGTTTATGACAGCTTATGGTACAGTTTTGGTATATGAGAACGGTTCATCAACAAGGTCAAATGGCCTTAAATACCAAAATGGTTCATTGGGAAGCACAACAAATGGGACGGTATCTTTGGACATGGAGCAAGTCTGGCTGTATAAATATTCCTGGCCCAACAAAACCAGGGTGAGTAAATCTTACTTCCATTGCATGTTAGCCGGCCAGGCTAAAAATCAGAGGTTTCTATAATATGAAATCTTTCAAGGCCCGCATACTCTTTGACTTGTACGGACAATCGGTTTCTGCCGGGTCTAAAGCAGAGGCCACACTCCACAGGTGAAGAGCACAGGTCACGGCTCCATCGATAAATTACCAAGCCACACAGATTCCCCTCGAACTAATAGAGCATTTTGTTAAGAGATTAGGGCTAGGAGAAACTTTTAATGCTGTTTGTTTGTCTTTATCATGGTGACCTGTACTCTGACCTGTGAAAAAATAACCTGTATTTTAGCCCTGCCCAGTGGTTCACAGTTACATTGATCACATTTCACGTCAATATTTGTGGGAATTCCCCCATTTGGTTCTCACCCCTGGGTACATCATTGATTGGTATGTTATTCACAAGTGGGGGGCTCTCTTGGAATATTTGAAGCATCTGAATTTTTAGAGAAATTTCTGCGCCAAATCTGTATCCCGGAGCTTGAAAAACGAGAAATCTAAATGTTTGGTTACATATATGCCAATTCTCACGTGGACTAAAGACATCGATCTTATGCATCAAGGACAATTCCTCATATCTGACACACAAATCCAGACAAATTGTCCTTGAGCACATGATTAACAATAGCAATTCAATTCAATTTCCCCAAAAATGTTCCAAAAAGGTGCTTAATGTTGACTTTGTGTCCTAACTGTATCTGCACAACATGCTAAAATTGTTGCCCTTAAAATAGCCTCTGAAATGCTCTTGAAAAGGTTATTGGGACATTTTTGCCAACGTTGAGAAGTCTTAGGAAAACTGCCGGAAATCTTGGATGTTTTCAGCAACCTCAGTCATGACAAGACAAAAGTTCCACCACATTTGTCTCAGAAAAAGTTGGCAGGTACTTGATGAGCCTGTGATATTGGTATTGTGACATAGCACTGGTAATTTTAACATTTTAAAACATAATTTCCTTGCAAGAGGAAGAATGCCTCTGCACTTGATCCTGAAAATATGAGCCCGTACTGGCTGAAGCTGGTTTGGGAATGGGGGTGGATTTTATGTCACTATTGCAATGGTATTTCTTTAATTCTAATATTCTTATTGTATGTACTTTCTTTTCTTGATTAAGCCTTATGCCGTACGGGTTAGCGTCTCAAGTGATGCAGCAACTCAAGTTTTTCCTTTGCTATTTGTGGCGCGCTTGCAACGAGGTGTCATGTCATGGTCAATACCCGAAGAAAAGTAAGTAGAGTGCTAAAATCAGAGTGAAGGGCTTCAAATTACAATGAAACCCTGATCCAACAAATCCCTGATAAAACTCACAAATAAATTTTTCATGACACGAGATCTTGGGTCATTCACTAATTGCTGATATTGAGTGACATGTTTTATTCTTTTCCCTTCTTGCTCTCGCTTTCTATGTTGGCCTTTTAATTGGACAAATCAATCAAAAACACCTTAACACATGGGAAGGGAGAAGGAAGGTACCATATGTAGCTGTGTGACTCAAGTTAGGACAGTGACCTTGATTGCTGGTAAAAAAAATGGTATTCGACCAGGAATCAGGTAGATGAAGAAATACTTTGTGGATGTGCTACCTCCAAATCATTTTTCATTTATTTATTGTTTATTTTTTATGTTGCTTGTCAGAATTTAACCTTAACAGCTGGCCTCAAAAATACAATGATTTAGTTTTTCAGTATTTCAAATTTAAATTCATAATTGCAATGTTTAGTTTCTTTTCCATTATCCGGAGTTAATTTTTGTTGTTTGTTGTTTGTTTGTAGGTATAATTACAGTCTTGCCAGCCGTACACTGTGCCCCTTTCTTCATAGCTACATATCATTAACTAATGGATCTGCTCTGCCTGAGTCATTCTCTGTTGATGTCTCCACTTTTTCTCCAAAGCCTGTCAATTATACTCTGAAAGCAGATTTTCTTGATAACTTTGTTTTGATGTGAGTAGTTCTAAGTGAATAATATCAAAGAGACTGACAGTCATGAGGAGAAGGGGGATAAGCCAGGGGAGGAGCGATGCGTGACGATCCTGCAAAGTCATACTACATAAATACAGTCGACTATCTCTTAACGGACACCTCTATAAGACAGACACCTCTGTAAAACGGACACTTAGAGTTGGTTCCTGCCTTTCTTTACTCCCCTTGTTTCACTCTTTATAAGATGGACACCTCTCTAAGACGGACACTTAGTGCTGGTCCCAAAGGTGTCTGTCTTAGAGAGAGTTGACTGTACTCAGTTAGTACGCAGCTCTTAAAAACCAACCCCTTTTATTGGTTCTCCAAAACACGCAGCTCCATTGTTTTAGGGATAGAGTCATTGTTATATTTCTATGTCTATTGTTTTCACAGCTAATACTGTGAGGCCTTGTAAAGAGCTGTATAGCACCCCTAAATACTACATAAATAGTTTGAATTATTTAAAAATGAAGCAAATGAGGGTAAATAAGGAAGCCATCCTTATGGTTAAAATTCTTTCCTTGGTTGCTCAAAACTTACTTAAGATATACTTTAGTTTCAGGGGTACCTAAATTGAAGTTTTCTCTGGGAAGTCCCCAGACTCCCCTAGTGGAAGTGAGAGGCGACCCCAACATATGGTTGTGGCACATGATAAGACACAGTGTTTTGCGTTTCAACTTATTTTTAAAAACATCAAACTCAAAGTAGAGTTTTATTTCAATGGGAAAATTATATTTCATTTCACCACATTGCATTAAAAGACAAACTACATGTTTTGAACGGTGCAATCTTTAAAGAATGGTGCCACTTCTCTTGCCATATTGGAAGGCACTGGAGCAGGATTTATTTTCTGTTGTGAAGCACTGCTAAGGCTTTACCAAAAACGTGAATAACCAAAAAAAGTCATTTACAATGAAACTTGATTTTTACAGGTTAAGCAAACCGCAAACTGTCACAGTGGATCCAGCACAACCCATGGTAAGATTATCAAAGCTTTAAGTTAAATGCATATTATTTTTCTAGCTTTGTGTAACTTCCAAAACTCATAAAATTGTTTCGATCCTCTGTTCACAGTATTTTTTGTGGAGATTCCCAGATAATGTGGACACTGTTGTTGTAAAAGCTGAGTCTGAGAATGCTAAGTTGTGCGCTATTTTGTCAATACAAGGAACTCAGGTATACTGTTTTTGTGTGATCATTTTTTATTTGTGATAATTTCTTATTTAAGGAAGCATTTTAAGTAGCTAATCCCCCTGGAACGTTATTGAGGGTAGCTAATCCCCCTGGAAAGTTATGAGGGAGGGTTCCTAAAGCTGCTACAATACAACAGCAGCCGGCTTTTTGTGAAGTCAAATTGGAATTTCTAAGAGTTTTGGTTTGGCTGTTTCATGGTGGTAATAATTTGGCTATTTTCCTAAACGACATATGCTTGTAACAGTGCAAAGCCTATCTTAACACCCTCTATTGACAATGTTGTTAAATGCTTGTAGCAGGTATATTTCCTTTTGCTGCTAGAATAAAGTTCATAAAATTGTAGTCATTATAAAGTATGGTACTTTATATTTCATTCCAGTGTCCGGTGTACGATCTTGCGAGAAATGTGGAATTTACTGGCTATTTTCAGACCATGACAACTAAAGCAGCTATCACGGTGAAGGTGGAGTTTAACTTTGAAAAAGTAGAATTAATTACTGTAAAATAATTCTGACCAACAAATGAAATGGATATAAACCTCAACAACTAATTGGTTTTAGCCAGGTGGGCAAGAGAGCCACCTTTTTGGGAAGAAAGGTTTTTTTGTTGCATTTTGTATTAAGAACCAATGGCTTGAGAGCTGAGAAGAAAATTTTTAACATTTTTGCTGTAGTGGGGAGGAAGGGGAGGGCTTGGAGCCCCCCCCCCCCCCCCCCCCCCCCCCCCCCCCCCCCCCCCCCCCCCCCCCCCCCCCCCCCACCCACCACAAAAAAAAAAAAAAAAAAATATATGATATTTTTTATTTTCTTATGAATTAGATAAATAAAAAAAAAAAAAAAAGAAAAAAAATACAACACAAGAAAAAGAAAATAAAAAAAACGTGGGCATGGTGACACAACGGATTTTTTATTTTTATTTAGTTTTGACCCTGGAAAGGTGCCACTGATGAGGCTGTGGAGGGGGGGGGGGGGGGGGGGGCCCAACCCCCCCCCCTCCCCCCCCCCTAGCACAAAATTTTAAAATTTTTTTTTCCCCTCCCCCCACCATTTGTTTTTTAAAAAAAAAAAAAAAAAAAAACTTTTTTCTCCCAAAAGAGGCCATCTCTTCCCCCCCTGCATAAAACACATTTTTTGTGGAAAAGAGGTTTTTTTTTTGATTTTTTTTTAAAAACAGTAGGGTGAGGGGGGGAGAAAAAAATTTTTACAACTTTCTTCGTCTGGGGGGGAGGGGGGGGGGGGTGGGCCCCCCCCCCCCCCCCCCCTCCACAGCCTCATCAGTGGCACCTTTCCAGGGTCAAAACTAAATAAAAATAAAAATATTTGTATTTGTCCTCTACTGTTAAGGGGCTTTTCAGGAATAATGAAACATAGTTAAGAATCTCAACTGGTCTGGGGCAAACAAGTAAGCTATTTACAGAGGTGTGGCCAAGAAGTTGAACTTGGGACTTAACCAGCCAGCCAAATAACAGATCCAGCCAGCTATCAGAGGGCAGAACTTGAACTCTGCTCCACCTGATTGCAAGTCCCTTTCTTTAACTTCTCAGCCTTGCAGCCTTATTTGTGAACACCCACTTATAATCTCCTGTCTAAAACTCTCTGCCTAACAGATCAAGACCAGTTTGACATCCTGTATAAAAAATTTTTATTTGCTCACTAGGACACATTGACAGGCCACATAATTGTGGGCAGCCATCGGAGCTCACACTCCTAATCTCAAGGTCGCTATTACTCATGCACAGCATGTATGTAACCAGCATTTGCTTGGAATTCCACAAAAGAATGATTGGAATGCATAGAGTGCAATCTGATTATGGATATTTGGACCTTCTGTCGCTCAAAATTTGATCACGTGCATTTTGATCTTGTATCACATGAAACTTACACAAAGCAGAGCATGGGAGCAAGAGCATTTTGACCTTCATCTACGCTCACTGACCTTTGGTTATTACTAATTTAGTCTTGTTAGTATAGCTTTGATTTTGGATTTGACTTTTTATGCAACTTAAATCTGCTTTGTTCTTCTCTCTCTTAGCGATCCACCTTTAGTCAAGATGAGTTCTATGTTGTTATCATTGTTAAGTCATCTGATGAAGAATGTGTTACTGGAGAACGTTTTGCACGCCCTCATGGAAAGAAAATGGATTCCAAAGACTCACATTATGCAGGTGACAATCTCAAAGGTTTTCACTAGTTTTTACCAGGCTATATTTTGTCAAGAGGGATATGTATAACTCTACAGCCCTGGGTTGTTGTTGTTGTTGTTGTTGTTGTTGTTGTTGTTGTTGTTGTTCTTCTTCTTCTTCTTCTTCTTCTTCTTCTTCTTCTTCTTCTTCTTCTTCTTCTTCTTCTTCCATTACTTGGCTTTATCTATAAAGATGAATCTTTCAAGTGGTCAGGGTTTTGATAAAAAAAGCATTTCAAAGTGCCATAAAAAAAAAATTATTTGTCAGTTTCAAAAATGTTTAGCCAACTGGGCCTTGAAAGAAACCAGTGATGGCAACTCAACAATGTTTTGCAGCAGGCTGTTCCATTCTTTTACAGTCCTTGGAAAGAATGAGAATTTGTGGTAGTTTTTAGTGGATGAAACAACTTTGCATGTAAATGGTGACTTGTGCGCACATGAGATTCTGGAGTGAGACACTTGTACTTTTCTATTTCAACAAGACTCTTATGAAGCATTTAAAAAATAGCCAATCCATTCCTTTTCCTCCTTAATTCCAAGGAATCCCACCCTAGATTATTGAGCATATCAGTGACACTTGCTGTGCGATCATAACAGTTTGTCATGAAGCAGGCAGATCATCTTTGCACCATTCCTATTTTGTCGACGTTTAGCTTTGTTGGTGGCTTTATAGTAATAGACCCTTCCACAGTTTTTACAAGTTTTGATAACCCTTTAAGCCCCAATATCCACATACAAATTCACCACACTGATATTCATACACTTCTTTAGAGATTAGTTGAGAGAGTTTAATAAAAGATCAAACCATTTTCTCTTTGGTGATAATTTGATTAACTCTTGTAACCACTTCTCTTGACAACATATGGATATTGTCAGGAGAAAATTGATGTTGGTCACTATTGGGACTTAAAGGGTTAAAACAAGTAAATAAATATCCATCAACACTGCTGAAAAGAGTTAACCTTGAAATTAGGGAGCTTACCAAGTTTAAGGGTACTTTATCCATGTAAAGCGAGCAGATATTGCTCCATGGAGTGGTGAAATTTTACAGATGTTTGTATAGTGGGGCATGAACTTGCCGCAACCTTTCAAACATCTGTAAAATTATACGACTTCCCAAAGCTTATCTTCATCAGTTTTTAACATTCAAATCTCTTTCAAACTTGGCAACTTTACTTATTTTAAGGTTTTCTTTCCATGCAGCTGTGTTGACAGATTTTTGCTAACTGGTCCCAATCAAAAGACGAAAAGACCATGGAAAGATCCATTAAAAGCTTAATTTTTCAATAAACTCTTCCTTCAGGTCCACTTTCAGTAAGGCAGAAAACTGTCACCATAACAGTGGAACCCACTCTATCATGTGAGTGTAGCTAGCTTTACATATTTGTGGGAGAGTGTAAAGGATTCATATGTGGCATTAAAAAGGGTGGGGTCAGAAATCAAAGAGACAAGTTGAGAGATCAAAAGGGTGGTTGAGTGGAAAGGACTTATATGTAGTGTCAAAGGGATGGGCTCGGAGATCAAAAGGCCAGGAGTGATATGTGTGGGTGAGTGCAAAGGGTCCAGACATGGCACAAAAGGGTGTGGTCAGAAATCAAAGGGATGGGAGAGTGCAAAGGACTTAAACAAAGCATAAAAGGGCAGGTTCAGGAATTAAAGAGATTTGTTTAGAGATCAAAGGGCTCAGGGATGAGATAAATCGGTGCTAGCTTCACCTGGTACTGGGTTGTCTTTTCCACTTGGATTTGCTGTCAATGGGTTACATACATAAAATGACTTCTCCTATGACCTTTGTGTTTTGCAGCAAAAGCCTATGTCAAGGCCATTGGTGTTCCTGTTGCTTTTTTTGCATCTTTCTATCTCATTGCATTTATTGTACTGCTTATCACTTGGTGCCGGTAAGTAAGGCCTTGACATCATCAGGGGCATAGTAGCCATTGCTAATAGGCATTTCCTGTGTCCCTCAGGGAACTATTCCTTAGACCTTAGAACCTAAGAACCTTAAAATCTTAGAACTGTCCCTTATAACTTAGCAATACAGCTCATAATGAGATGCAGCATTTAACTAGGCCCTTTTATTATTAAATTGCTATCTTGGATAAGCCAATGATAAATATTGTACCACTCAATCAAGAGTGCAGGTAAGGTGCCCTGAGAGATATGCATGAGGAAAATTCTTTTTACTAGCCATACAGAATAATCAAAACATCAGAAACTACCACAGCTGCCATGTAAACGAGGATTGCTATTGTTTCAGTAACTTCTTCACTGTAAAAGTAATTTTACCTGCTACAAGTGAAAACTACACCAAACATGATAACCGTGTTGGCATGACATTACTTTGATACAAGTTGCTGATTTAGGGCATCACTCTCCACTAACTGCATTGTACAATTGTTTTTTTTTTTTTCAACTTTCATAAACCTTTTTTTATTGATTACTGTATTTGTATTTGTATCTCCAGACAAAGGGGAGGGCGCAGGGAAAGAAGTTTAAGGTCTATTCTGATGCCTAAAGAAGGCAATATTCAAGGTATGCTAAGGGTTAACATATAAAAAAGTAGAAAAAGTTTTATTAGATTCTTTTTTTTTTTTTTACCCCCTGTAAGAGACAACATCACATACGGTAACCATAAACTGTGTTCATAACTGCAGGAATCATTCTTCACTTGATTTTATTTCCGTAGTTCTCATATATGCTTTATTTCATATACATTTGTCATGCCATAATCTGCCACTTACAAGCCCCTCCACTTATATACCCTCCAAGTTATAGGCCCATCTACCTGTAAACAAAAAAATACATCCGATTATAAGCCCCTCTTTAGCTCCAGTTGTAAGCCCCCGTCTGAATTCAATTTATTTTGACAGTTTGAAGCTTTAACTAAAAACCAGTAAATGCAAAATGTATTTTGATTAGCACTGCTTTAGCTTGTGTCAAAGCGCTGTTTCTATCCGGATATAAGCCCACTCAGAAATACTGTAAAATTCCGAAAATAAGCCCCTCCATGTATAAGCCCCTCCAAACGTAAGCCCCCCAAACTGGTAATGTGAAAAGCCTCCGTTAAATTGCCCCTCCAAATATAAGCCCCACGGGGGCTTGTACTTGGAAAATTGCCCTCAAACACAAAGTAGAACAAAGCAAAAACGGTAAATTTACTTCCAACTTTAAGGCTAGCCCAATCGATTTTGGAACACAAATTTCCCTCTGTAGATAAGCCCCTCCAAAAATAAGCCCCTCAAAAAGGGCCTTTGAAAAATATAAGCCCCAGGGCTTATTTTCAGAATTTTATGGTATGCCTCTCCGTTTATAAGCCTTCTTAAAACCCGTTGCAAAGATGTATAAGCCCAAGGCTTAGAAGCAACAGTTGACCATGTAGTCCATTCCTATGTGTGCTGTACCCTACCATGCAAACAGTAACTCAGAGTAAAAGAGCGACTACTGACATGTTACTATTCGTTTTGAAATTTTGAATTTGTATGGAATTAATTCTCAGAGTCAAAATAGTAGTTACGCCATACTTTTCCTTGTTATAAACCCCTCTGGTTGGCCTCCTGTAAGCAATCACTAAATCTCGGCATTTTGGCTAGTGGCTCACAGAAGGTTCGACTCTAGGATTGTTTTTGAAATTTAGTAAAATCCGCTTAAACTTTACCTACAGATTGTTTAATTAATAACTTAAACTAAGCTCATTGCCAATAAATAAACTTGGGAACTGGTGCCTCAAAAGGTAGTTAGGGTAGGGTCTAAAGTAACCCAGGCATAGCAGGTAGGTATCCATAGCAACCATGCCCACAGCCCTGAATGCTTAATTTGGCAAAGTAATAAAACCTGCCATCTTAAATTTTCTAAGGTTAGACTTTTATCATGTGCTAATCATTGAAAAGGTGATTCTGTAGTTTTCAAGGTGCAAGTCCCATATGGATATCCAGACTCTGTTAAAGAGATCAGCAGCTTACTAACTGCTACTGGAAATGAAAAATGTACTCTCCTTAATGTTTGTATTGTTTATAGGGAGGGGAAGTAAATATTATCATTTGATGCTAAACAACATTTTGTACACGTAGTGTTTGTTGTCCACTTTAGATGTTCCAGTGAGTGCTCCACTGAGGACTTCCTCGTCCAGGAGATCAAGAACAAGAGATCATTATGGGACAACTCCGCATGGTCAGTATCAATCTTGGAATCCGGATTCCATAATGCTGGAAATTTTTGCTTGCAGAATCAGCTAGTACAGTAATAATCAAAGATTATGCAGGGTGTTTGGATGAAACCCGGGGTCCAGGGATTTTCCCCGCCTACTACGAGCGTGAGGCCCGGCTACTTTCATAGAAAACAAAAGGAAAATGGAACCAGAAGATCTTCCTAGCTGTACAATTCCCCTCTTGCTAATCACATATACCCGGCAACTTGAAGTGTTAGTGGCAGCCCTGGGTTAAGGTGGTTCCCTGCGAACGGAACTTCTAAACGCTTGAATTTTCAACTGATGGAAAATTTGTTCTGTACGTAAGCTTAACCCTTTAAACCCTAAGATCAACATTTGAATTCTCATTTGTTGCCCCTATTCATTTCCTACAGAAGTAGTGGGGAGAAGTTGATAAAATATCAAGCAAATTCATCTCGTGTGATCATGTCCATAATTCTCATGACCCCTCTGTTTTACAAAGCATTGATGGTACAGGGAGAAATTCAATGCTGATCGCTCTTAGGGCTAAAGGGTAAAAGAAAGTGACTGAGGAATGGCAGAGACTACTCTAAGTGTGCACTTCATGGGGGTCTTATAGAGATGTAGAAAAGAGAATCGACTGTTTGTTTTTTGCTTGTTTTTTTTTAGCAGATAATGAAGTATTATTTGATCATGATAGTGTCGATCAATTAGAGGAGGACCATTCTTTAGTCACTGATGGAATAAAAGATCCTACCTCACGGGATTTTGAGCAGCATTACGACATGTTGCATGATATTGATCAGGAGAAAGATATTTACAGGCTCAGGGTGAGTAAGTAAATTATTATTTGTTGGTGAAATTTGAACAAGTGCTTGAAGAATTATTGCATATTTCAGGAAGTTGTGGTTACGTGTCAAGGTTCTCATAGAATTTAGAGTTTATATATTGCAAATGTTTTATCAAATTAGTCATCCAAGCATACTGGATGTATTTCTTTGGGATTCACCAAGATCAGGTTTGGATCTACTGGTTGTAAGTCCCCTTGGGTCAATAAGATGTATATCCAGGGCTTTTAAGTGGCCCTTGCATTGAGTAATTCAGATAGATATATGCAACATTAGTAGTCCAGATAACATCTATTGTTATTAAAATAGAGTTGTTCAACTACTATTAAGCCGAGAAATTAAAGGTGCGTTCAAGTTTATCAATTCAAAAATTCTTTTGGATTATCATCAGACTAGCTTGATGCTGACAGATCTGGCTAAGAAAGAAAAAAAATACCTCCAAAAGAAATACAGACTCTATCACTGGTTAGTATGATAATGCAATTTTAATTTGGTTTTGAATATCTCAATCTATTGTTAAGATTCTGGCCCGTCCTTTAGTTGGCCCTTTACTTCTAATTAGCCTGAGACCAGGTTCCGCAGTGGGGAAAAAGCCGGGAAAAAAATTGGCGAGCAAAGCCAGCTGAGCGGGAGTCTGGAAAGGGGTAAGGGTGCCCTCCCCCTCAGTCCAACTTCAGTCCATTTTTGGCTGTTTCGCCCTGTTTTTCGCCTTTTTCCCCCACTACGGAGCTTGATCCTAGGCAACTTCTAATCAGCTTTGTATGCACGTTTTCAGGGACAATTTATTTTGGCCGTGTCAGATATAATACTCCTCTATTGATCTATTAAGGGTCAGGGAATTGTTATCCTGTAATCTCTCTGTTTTTTTTTTTTTTTCAATTGCTATAGGAATCTGTTGATGATAGCTGTATTCTATGCCCTTCCGGTTGTCCAACTCGTTATCACATATCAAAAGGTATTTACATTTGAAATAAAGTTGAAATAAATAGAGTCAGATTTCCATCATGGTTGGACATTGCTTTCTTACATCTCTGTAAGGCATCGGTTGTAGAAATAGTCAACTCTTTTAAAAAGGAGGCAGTATGGCCTAGTGGTTATGGTGCTGGGATTATAATCTGTTGGCCCCAGGTTCAAGTCCCACCCGGGCCACTAGCTGGATTTATTCTTGATAGTCCTGAGTTCAAATCGTTAATCACACTTGTAAATAGCCAAATTGTTTGCCTTCAGCCATTTGGGATTCTTAGTTTTGTGGGCCACAATGAAAATTACTGGTGTATCATTAATTGTGTTACCCCTATAAAGTCAGTGTTTTGTAGTTGTTGTTTTTGTTTTGCTTTTTTGTGTGACAAAAGTGAGATTAGTTGATGTTATTTTCCAGGTTCTTAATGCCAGCGGAGATGAAGATATTTGCTACTACAACTTTTTTTGTGCTCATCCTTTGGGGGTATTAAGGTGAAACATTAAATAATTACATATGAGCTATAGTTATAATTATGCCATGCTTTCGATCCGTATACCTTAAAATATTGTTTTGTCATTTTTCAAAACAAATTACATAAATTTATAAACCTAATAGCGACGAAGCCTTAAGGGAAACCACTGGGCTCATAAGTAGTAGGCTCCTCGATTATTTTTAGTGAATTATCGACTTATCAAGCAATTCATATCAAAGGCAGTGCTACAATAAGCATTATAACAATTTATATCCATTACATCATAAAAAAATAAAAGGGTCGAGGTAACCTTTCGAGTTGAAAACCCTTTTTCAGTACAATTTCCCTGTTCACTTTACCGCCCAGAAAATACATTTGAATCAAACCAATCGGATCCTGCATAATAAGGGCTTTCTAGCCCTTAGATTGGTTCTTTAATGCACTCTTAACGGCATGGGAGAATTTATGTTAAAATTACACTGTGTCAGCAAGTTCGTCGCAATAAATTTCTAACGTACTACATGTTGATGAGACGTGTGTTGAGGTTTCCTCTCTTTGATCTTGTTTCAGTGCTTTTAATAATGTGTGGAGTAACGTTGGATATATCATGTTAGGATTCCTGTTTTTCCTTCTTGTTATGCGACGGTAACTATACTCATAACATCTTATTACTCTCTGCTATCTAAACAAACCGTAATTTTTTTGAAAGTATTTCAACAGAAAAAGTTACAACAGTGAGGAAAGAACGGGGACTCAATTCTAACACTGCTTCCTAAATTTATTATGGGGTAAAAGATTCAAAGTGGCGGCCATTTTCCCTGTGGCGGATCGAAAATTCATTTTTTTGGCGACGTTTTCACTGCGGTCGTCGTCGTCGTTGCTTAAGGTCCCTAATATGTGATAGTAGAAAGCTGGTCAGGGGAGTGGTTAACTTATTTGAGGGGTGGGGGCGCCTTACTACTTCCCATTTTTAATGTTGTTTTTTCTTGTGTTTTAGAGACAGACAACATAAGCAAGATATAACTGACAATAGTGATATAGAGAAGGTATTAGTACATTACTTTATTTTCTTTGGTTAATTGAAATTAATCCATTTCATGTCTATAACTGCACCGATTTTAACGGTTTGTTACATTTCTTATATAGTCTATTATAATTTTTGTCCTTCTTTCAGTTTTACGGAATTCCTCAGCATTATGCGATATTTTATGCCATGGGTAAGTGGTCCCTTTAAGTCTTCAATAAATAAATTTTCTTACTTGGCGTGTTGTAACACAGGGATAGAATATTTAAGTGAAACGTTCAAGTGAAATAGGACCTGAATTGGGGGTCCTGATCCTACATTCCCGCTCCCTTTTCACGGGAATCCCCGCATCCCAAACGTCTTTCATCGCTATCCCGAATGTCGTTGTCTTTCCCAATCCCGCATCCGTGCTAAATTTTGGCGAATCCCGCTTCCCGATTAGTAGTTAAAACCCGTATCCCGTAAACGTTTCCCGAACCCCGCACTGTAATTTGGTCTAATCGCGGATCCCGGAAAACCCCTTTCCTGGTAAGAGCACAAGTAGCTACCCACTTTCTTTGGTATTATTGCCATGTGGACTAGACCGGGCTGTATTAATCTAGTTACCTTAAAGATACCAACTTTATTTACTTCTCTTGTTGTTGTTGCAGCGCTTGCCTTGATAATGGAAGGTGTTCTGTCAGCCTGTTACCACGTGTGTCCTAACAATTCTAATTTCCAGTTTGGTAAGTGAGTAGTCTAGAAGCGAGAGAAAGAGCGAAAATCAAAGCGAGGAAAAGAAATGACAGGAAAAAAGCATCAACAAAAATCTGTTGTAATTAGTTTGCCTTTGTCCTCATTCTTAGTAGGCCAATTCTGAGTTGGTCTTTGCCTCCTTTTCAAAACGAGGGTAGTCGCGAATCCTATGATATGCAAAATTTCACATAAAGTTCTTGCACGTGGCGTCCTTTTGAAAGCGAGAGCTTTTGGTCTTCGGAAATCAGTAAGGCAGAACCATGAACGACAAAACTTGCATAGTTAAGATACGATTCAATGATTGAATGATGATTTTAGCTAACATCAAGTTTGAACGTGTTTTATTCATGTCCGTATGACGTCATTAACGTTTATTTATTCCTCTGTTTGCTTATGAGATATCTACTCAAAAACAGGAGAAAAACATGCCCGCTATACTACTAAGTTTTAGCATCTCGCAATAAATTCACGAATTTCTTAAAACGATGATAAACTTTGTCTTCATTCTGGGACAACTTCCCTCTTACGATTTCTTTTTCGTGATGAAAACAAAGTTCAACCCTCGTCACCCTTCAGTCTGTTTGGGACGCATACGTCATAATTTCGTCTTCGCGCTATTCCTGACGAAGGTGTTAAGGCCCTTGTTAAAGCCTCAGTTCCACAGTATTTTTATGAATCAGCCAAGAACATTGGTGTCCCCGTTTTGATATGAAAATCAAGGCCCAAAGTGTCGTACATACCATCACACATAGTGTTGTTTCTCTCCTACGTTCGCCATCATTGTGTTTCTCTCTCAGCCAATGAACTCTGCTCCTTTTCGTTTTTTATGTAGACACGTCGTTTATGTACATCATCACTTGTCTTGGTATAGTGAAGCTTTATCAAACCCGCCATCCAGACATTGCCGCCAACGCTCACAGCGTCTACGCTGGCTTTGCATTGATCATCCTCATAGCCGTTATAGGAGTGGTAAGAAAAACTGCCTACTTACCGCTCCCCTAATCCTACATTTTGCCTTAAGAAAGAAATTAGTGTTAACACTGGGTTAGGGAAGGGGTGGGCGGGTAATTTCCCAGAATCTTATCCTGATCCAACCTTTACATCGTTTGACTACAACTGCTACGCAGAGCCTTGTTAATTCTGTAACTAATTCTATTTTTCCCCATTCATGTTCCTAGTTTTCGTTTGTGTTCCTCTACTGTTTAGCTCGGTTTGATAATTTAAGTTAATCCTATGACCCCATGGCCGATCCGCCGATCCCCTTAAGAGATGTGTTCGTCATTTGCATATCTCCCATAATACACCTTGTTTGCATCCCCTCCCCCTCCCCATAAAAAAACGCTTTAGTATTGTCCCCAATTTCTTTTGGGACGACTGTAATACCCAGGAGAAATTAAAATGAAAGGTTATGCAAAATTTTGGAGGGCAAACAAGGTGTATTATAGGAGATCTGCAAATGGTGAAATCAATTCTCAGATCGTGGATCATGCTGTGATTCGTTTGACGATTTAAGTAGAGATGGCTGTCGCAAGGCCGCTCAGATCAAGCATATTCGACTAAATTCATTACTAATTTACGACTTATTTGTTCACGGTTTTGTTATTGAAGGTTTACAGTTCGTTTGCATTCTGGACGACATTTGCCATAATTCATATTTTTGGATGCTTGTACCTCAGTTCTCAAATATACTACATGGGAAGAGTCAAGTTTGGTAAGGAAATGGCTTTCTCTTATTCCAGAACAAATGTGTTATTTTTGTATAAATTGCATAATCTACTTGGCGGTAGCTTGAAAAGTGTTGGTTGCATCATCAAACAGTAACTCACTGTACATAACATGTTATCTCGATTTTGTTGCGTTTGCCAGATGCTGGAATGCTTTCAAGAGTGTTTATCTTGTTGCGATACGATTGCTGCTCTAGCCCAACGTACAAGGTAAACTTGTTGTAATTCATTGTCTTTGTTGCAAATGTTGTCCTAATCCGCCACTTTAGAAACCAGAAGGGGACTGGAGCCCAAATGCGTCCCGAAATTGTTTCTGGGATTGTTTCTAGGTACGCGTCAGTTGCGTCGGCCAGTTATTGGCTAATTTCTTTCCCTTTCCCGAGTAACAGCCCCAGAAGTCTTTGTGAAAGTTAACTCGGCCCAGTTTCCTTCTCGTTTATAAGGTGGCGAAGTTGCCCGCGAGATTGGGTCGGTGTTATGTCGAATTGCACTATGGGACCGTTTTGTGGATACTATCGCTTCTCTTATTGGCTGTTACAAAGTTAGGCGGGAAACTGCGGACTGTTCGTCCTGCGAAACGTTCCCATCGTGCAATTTGAAGTTACGCAATACCAGTCTTCACGCGCAATGTAATACAGTCAAATCTCGCTTTACGGATACCTCATTATTACGTACGTACAGAATACTTCATGGAAAGTTCGGGCGTACGGTATTTACGCTCGAGTTGCTGACGTATCAGTAATAAGACGAGTGAGCGGACACCTCCATTAAAATGCACAACTCTTATTACGACAGCTGTTCTGGTAGTGAAGATACCAAATTTTGTGTATCCTTAAAAACCTCAAGTGATGCTAGTGGTTTCAATAAAAGGTCTATTTGTTTTGCAGGACAGAATGCTTCTTTTGGTGATTGCCAATATGATCAACTGGTTTTTGTAAGTAGGATTTGTGCTTACTTAATGTCTTAAGAGAGATGTACAAACTCGACTGATAAAAACGTTAGTGTGAAAGGTTTGTACCCAGGAGTCATTTCGTAAGTAGGTTGAGTATGATCGTCCGGGTGAACATAGTCCTGATTAGGACTGTTGTTGTTGACAGTGACTGACGTTTTGACAATCTGTGCGGTAGTCATGTTCAGTGTCAAAGTGAGTTGCACTCACGTCAGTTGATGGTATTAAACTCTGGTTATTGAGCTATTGATCAATTAAGTCGCGATATTATTGGTCGTCTGTCAGTTAAGCCGTGATCTTATTGGCTATGAAGGGTCGTAATGTCATTGGTGCTCAGCAATGTGATTATTGATGTCACCATTTCTCGTCGCTCGTTTGTGTTCGGTCAGTCGCGTGCTAAGGTTTCTGTCGATTTCGCCAATTTCAGTAGCCTGCCAGTCGCAGCATCTTGTATACTGCTCCCTGTCTGTCCTCCGGTTTGTCTTTGTCCTTGACATTAGTAAGTAGTCGTCTAAGGGTGGTTATAGGTTTGTGTGCAAAACGTTAGTATAAAGGAAAAACATGTCGCTCCGAAAGATCATATTTATTGTATTTACAGTTGAACTTAAGCGGCCACCTTTGGGGTACCGGCAAGTGGCCGCTTTGAATAGAGATTAGCCGCTCAATAGAGGTTCGACAGAAATGGGCATATTCTCTAGCAGAAATATCACTTTATGAAACAAACACGCGAAAGGAGCGGTATTACCGGTCCACAATCAGTCATCACCTTCTTTCTCAGACTGTATTTTCCTTCATCATATCTTTAGAATACGGCCAAACCGAGTGTATCAAACGCTTGATGGTCGCTTAATAGAGATAACAACAATGGAAGAACCCCTGTCGTGATGGCCAACCGCGGCTGCTTAACGGTTTAATTTACATTTTTTTTCTACAATTATTTCGGGACTTAAATTACTGGCCGCTTAATGGTGGGTGGCTGCTTTATGGATGTTTAGCTGTAGTTTAGACTGACAGATTGGTTGTTTAATTTCTAGTGCCATATATGGTGTTGCAACCACGCCCAACGACTTTGCTACCTACCTGTTAGCTATTTTGATTGTCAATGGACTCCTTTATTTGGCGTTTTATGTCATCATGAAGGTACTCTTATCGAGATTTGCCTTTTTATTCATAAACTTAACATCCCCCATTCTCTAGGGAGAATGGGTACAAGCCTTGGGCACAGTGATTTCAGGATTGTTTGGGGTGGACAAGCGTTTGTCGTGATTGGTCGATGGTATTCAAGGCAACCATTAACCAGTAACGCTTGTCCACCCAGTCGATCCCAAAAATCGTTGCGCCGAAAACTTGTACCCATTCCCCCAATGGACAATTATGAATTGCCATACACAATTTTATTTTCACCACAGTTGACAATCTCCTTCCACAACAACGTCCCTGTAATATTTTGTTTTGTCTAATTTTATTTTCAGCTAAGAAACAAAGAAAGGATCCTTCTCTTTCCGTTACTTGTCCTCGGTTGGACGCTGGCGTGCTGGATAGCTGCACTTATTTTCTTCTTGAGTAATCTGACATCTTGGCAGGTTTGTGACCGTTATCACTTTTATCCCCAATATCAAAATACAAATTCTTCTTTCCTGTCCCATACGTCTGTTATTAAAGAAATGGGGAGAATTTGTTAAAATATCATGAGAATTAAGCGTAAGTGATCATATCTTTGATTCTTATGACCCTCCTGATTGATTGAGAAAAGAGATTAAGAGACGTTTGGTTTTAATCACCATTGAGGCTTATTAAGGATATATTAAACCGTGGTAAATTTCGGTCATTGAAAAGTGACCTCTCATTAATCTGAATGATAAAGTCGCACACTGGTCTGTATTTACTCGCAAATAGAACGTAAAAATCCGGCATTTCGGTGTACTCCACCTCGCGGCAAGCGGCTGTATTCGTCTGTTGTACATTCAGGGGACCATCATTTTTCTTTTTATCCTTTAGGCCCGTTTCCCGAAAGTCCCAATAATTAACGCTCCCGGAAAGCTGTTGTTGTTTACTTTTAACATCACGCTTACAATAGTCTGGAGATATTCAAGTGTCATTTAACAAAACAAAATGGATTGGTTTGTTTCCTGGTTTTATTCTTTGGATTTTGATCTGAATCAGAATTGATTTTAGACCCGAAAAGTTACCGGGACTTTCGAGAAACGGGCCCCTGGTTACAAATGGTAATTCTGCGCGCCCCTTTGACTCAAATGAGTTTTCGTTTACTTACAGTGGTGATATTCTATACATGTACTTTTTATATAGGGTCGCAAATTTTAATTTAAGCATTGGTCGAGAGAAGGGCGTGTCTTAAGCCATTCTTAAAGTATAAAAGTACAAAAACATGAAAAGTTGAAAGTATTTTGTTCATAAATACTCAACGATCTATTCCCATCATATTGCATTGTATTGTAAGGTTTATTCATTAGAAATGTTTTAAGCATTTTGTTCTTACTTTCTGTTCACGTTTTGCTCGGCAGAAAAGCCCAGCTCGATCACGAGAAGGGAATAAAGACTGTATTCTTCTTGGCTTCTATGATAATCACGATGTGTGGCATTTTCTGTCCGCCTGTGCTTTATTCTTTTCATTTTTGGTAAGTAGGCCTTAAGCTACGTCCAAAAGGACGCAACAACTCCCAACAATGTTGGACCAACAATGTTGTGAGTTGTTGCGTCCTTGTTGGCAGTGGTGTTCAAAAGGATGCAACAATTCCCAGCAATGTTGGACCAACAATTTTGGGAGTTGTTGCGTCCTTGTTGGCAGTGGTGTGCAAACGGACGCAACATCCAACAATGTTGTCTCTGTTTTTACGAGGCTTTCAAGTACCCATAGCCTAAGAACTTTTATTTTAATTAATTGAAAGTACACATTACTTTTTTTTTCAGTACTGTTAGGGTATTTCGTCTCATTATTAGTTCCATTTTTTTCATTCAGGGCTTGTTGACGCTGGACGATGATCTTCTAAGAACACCAAGACACAGTATCCCTGTCTTTTAGTTCTTCTTAACTTCAAGCGATAGATAAATAGAATAGTGATGTTCCAAGTAAATAAATTCAAGTTATATGTAGATATTAGATTTAGAAGCATGACAAACTTTTCTCAATTATATTTTTGAAACTCGCGATATTCTTGTGAAATTTTGTTACGAAAATTGTTGTAGACGGAAGAATTTGGCTCCAATTGAAGCCCTTTTTTAATCGGAAGATGTAAATGTTTCAATTTCTCCAGTACGGGATTCAATGATGTATCAGTTTTCAAAGTAGATTAATTTGGGGGGCTTGAGTCCCACCGATGAATGAGTGAAAAAAAACTCTTTTATATAAATAACGAGTCTTGAGAATTCCTTTCCGCTTCGGATAATATTTAACGCGAGGCGCATTAGACACACTGTTAGACAGTTCTAGATAGAAATTATAACTTGCGAGATTTTGCTGTCATACGATGTATTTTTGAGGTATTGTAACGCTATCGCAATGATTATTTAAATGTTACTGAATTCTAGTTGTCTCTTACCAAGACAGAGTTGAGTTTTTACCTCGTCGTAACCTCGATGTGTGAACAAAAACGACTGAAATAAACATTTTGTTGAGATCTCAAGTGGCTGAAACGATTGATTCCGATAGAACACGACTCATGGCGTTTTACTGTAAACGTGGCGTACATTATTAAAGAAGATTGTCCCGAAAGCGAATCCAGTTCGATATCTGTATTTATTATATGGCTTCAATAGTATGCGCGCTCTGATTGGCTGTTTTCATGTAATGACTGGGCATTACTAGCTAGATGTCCAAGGCATATACAATCTGTGTTTAACTTGATAGTGGACATCCTTATGGACATCCATGTTACGGTCAATTGAAAGCTGTCAAAAGGTATCCGCTGACCAGTGGCACCTGACTGTAATGCGGGCTCAAGTGTACAACTCGTTGAGGTGACGTGTTTTTTAAAGTTATCCGCTGACCAGTTGTTGGTTTTAATTGATCGCAGGCTCAAGTTCATAATGAAAAGGCCATATAATAAATAAATTACTAACCTCGTCCGTTCAGTCATTACAGGGAAATCTCAAACCTCGTCCTTGATGTATTGACCTCGCTATGGCTCGCTCAATACATCAAGTCCCCAGTCTGAGATTTCCCCGTAATGACCTCACTCTCGGTTGATGAGTAGTATATATTTTAGCTGAGACAATGCATAGAGAAAGGACCCTCCCTCCAGTTTGCAAGTTGCTTTTTCCTTGCACTTTTCTAAGTCCATGACAGTTCACAACAATTCACAAAAGACCTTTTTTGTACGTTTTATTTCCCCAATTCAGACCACGTGATGTTCGCAAGGGAATTTGCTTTTCGCCTTTTCATCAGTTATGCACGCATGTGCACGTGCATATGAAGACATTGAATGAAACAGCTCTCTAATGAAACATCACGTGGTCTACGATGGGAAAACAAAACCTGCAAGCTAAAAAGGTCTATTCGTCCCTCCTTTCACACAAGGGTACTGCTCATGGCTTACTTTTAACGAGGTGGAGAAGGTGAGGAAAAGGAAGTCGGTGCAACTGTTAAATAGAGACATTTATTTTGACAACCCTTAGCCCTTAAAAATTTACGAACGTTTCTTCGGGTAATATTTATAATGCAGTGTCATTACAAAGAAGAGTATGATAAAATCAGTAAATCCCGTACGATGCAAAACGAAAACAAAAGAGGGTTTCCACGGAAATTAGCCTGCTAGTAGAGGCGACTTTTTCAGGATACGTACTTTCTGCACGCCGGGACATATCTCGAAAAGGCAGCCTCAGCTGGCGGGCCGGGTTACGTGGAAAGTTAAGTGTCCAATGATTTCATAAAAGGTATAAAGTTACTACGTTTTCCTGCATTTTGGGGTCAAAGAATTCCAGTTTCATGCAGTTTAAACTGACTCGTCATTGACACTGCCATTTCCTAACTAAACAGAATGTACTTTATAAAAAGGTTAACGTTAGATAACATCGAGTGAAGCCAGATTGGACACCTTATGAATTTTACACAACGCATTATTTCCATAATGGAACGAGACTGGAATGTAGAATGAGGCTAGAATAGGTGAAGAAACCAAAACTACAGAGTGCCAGTTATGGAGAGAACACAGTAGAGAGTTAAGCACTGATCTGCAGTCATTAGGGTTAAGCACTGAACTGAAAACGGTTAGCTTTCAAATATTGTAATGGGGTACGGCATATATAAGAACATGTATATTTTAAAAATTATTGGATTTGGCAGCTAGTCCTCGATGGTGTAGTGGATACGGATGTAGGCTATAAAGCAAGTGACCCGGGTTCAAAGCATTACAGTGGATTTATTTTATTTCATTTTATATTACACAGTAAAGAAACAATCTGACTTCAGCCGATGTTACCTAATGCTAACCTTATAAAAATGCGAAAATGTAAAAGACTCCTGGGATCGTTACTGGGGAATCAACGGTCAGCTATTGGCCAATTTTTTCACTGTCTCAAGTAACAGTCCCAGAAGTCCTTGCAAAAGTTAACTCGGTCCAGTCTCCTCGCTTATAAAGTGGCAAATTGGTGATTATGAAGTTACCCCGGAAACGGTGTCATAATCCCCGCCCTCAAACAATCCCATGGTGCAATTCGACACAACTCCGACCCAGTCTCCAGGGCAAACACAATATGGCCACCACTATCCCACCCTAAGGTCTTTTTCTTGGAACAAAATAACTATTTGTCAGGGTGCCCATGTATCCACCCCAACTCTGCTGGGAAAAAGGCAAGAATCTGCTACAGCGTTGAGAGGACGACAGATTATTACACTTGCACTTCAGAGTGAAACGATACACCGACAAACTGCCAAAGTGTATTTTATACACATCAAAGTCGTCCTGACTGATGAAAATCTTGTTCTTGTCTGGTTTTCGCTTGTTCTTTAGGCATTCATTCACTGCTGCATCTCCAGCATCAAATATTCCAGCTTTGTAATTTCTCCAAGTAGAAGCGTCACTGTTAGATTCTTCTTCTAAAAATATAATAGAAAAACTGTTGAAGGCCAGGAAAATTTCAAGGTTATATCGCGAGGAGCCACGCGCGATCAACACGCAAAAGTAGCCCCTCACGTTCTATAATAATAATAATAATAATAATAACTGTTTATTCACAAATCCAAATCGAAAAAGTGAAAAGGAGATAAAAGAGGTTATCCCTTTCTAGTTTATCTCCTGATAATAAAATACATTAAGAAATAAATTATTTACAACTGTTTAAAATAGTAACTATATATGCATATAAAACATCACACAGTAAAAGAACTTAGTGTTCACTAGAAAAATCTATAAGATAACGTCTCAGTCTGTTCTTGAAAATATTCAAATTCTCCGCCTCAGCAACTTCCTTTGGGAGATTGTTCCACTTATCTATTATGCGTATAAAAAAAGAATGTTTAAAACTATTTAAAGTTGCTGATGTAAGCTTAAGTTTAAAACGATGGTTGGCTCTTAAGGGCCGAAAATTGTGTGCAAATGTAAAAAATGCCGAGTGATCAAGTCCATTAAGTCTATTTATTGTCTTATAACACTCGATAAGCGACGAAAATAATCTTCTTCTAATAAGCGTCTACCCTTTAGACCATAATATCACACAAGCGCCCCTCTCGAATAAGCACTCCCTCCCCTCCTCCCCAATTTCTTTAAGAGTAAGGATACAAGGAAAGTCTTGTTCTATTGCCACTTAATTGATGAGATAATCAAAATTTGATAGACTTGGATACCGATACATCTTGTATAAAAGGACTACGGTCTTCTTGATTACCAACCACTGTTTTAACAAACGAAACATTAAAAATTGACTAAACATTTACGTGGATAATGTTGTAGTTTTTGTTATCCTATAAAAAGATATAGCCAAAATAACGCTACAGTTCGTTGAAAGGAAAACTTAATAAGTGCCCCCCACCCCCCACCCCACCCCCTCGATTAAGTGCCCTACTTCAAATTAACGACCTTCCATTTAGGAAAAATTTAAATAAGCGCCCAGGCGTTTATTCGAGGACATATGGTAAGTCATATTTAGGAAGCTTAAGGTGGCTTGAGTGGATTTTTTGGGGTTGATACCTCCCAACTTTGAACATTAACTACGTCGGCATGAGTAAAGATATGGAAAAAAGGTTACAACAACTGTATTATATAAAGATGAAAATTTCGTATGATCTGGGTTTTATTGCAATCAGAGTCGCCATGGCAACGTAATGACGCCATTATGTTTTTCATTTATCTTTGTGTTTCTCTGTCCCAGGAGTTTTTTGAAGAAATCGCTTNATAATAATAATAATAATAATAACTGTTTATTCACAAATCCAAATCGAAAAAGTGAAAAGGAGATAAAAGAGGTTATCCCTTTCTAGTTTATCTCCTGATAATAAAATACATTAAGAAATAAATTATTTACAACTGTTTAAAATAGTAACTATATATGCATATAAAACATCACACAGTAAAAGAACTTAGTGTTCACTAGAAAAATCTATAAGATAACGTCTCAGTCTGTTCTTGAAAATATTCAAATTCTCCGCCTCAGCAACTTCCTTTGGGAGATTGTTCCACTTATCTATTATGCGTATAAAAAAAGAATGTTTAAAACTATTTAAAGTTGCTGATGTAAGCTTAAGTTTAAAACGATGGTTGGCTCTTAAGGGCCGAAAATTGTGTGCAAATGTAAAAAATGCCGAGTGATCAAGTCCATTAAGTCTATTTATTGTCTTATAACACTCGATAAGCGACGAAAATAATCTTCTTCTAATAAGCGTCTACCCTTTAGACCATAATATCACACAAGCGCCCCTCTCGAATAAGCACTCCCTCCCCTCCTCCCCAATTTCTTTAAGAGTAAGGATACAAGGAAAGTCTTGTTCTATTGCCACTTAATTGATGAGATAATCAAAATTTGATAGACTTGGATACCGATACATCTTGTATAAAAGGACTACGGTCTTCTTGATTACCAACCACTGTTTTAACAAACGAAACATTAAAAATTGACTAAACATTTACGTGGATAATGTTGTAGTTTTTGTTATCCTATAAAAAGATATAGCCAAAATAACGCTACAGTTCGTTGAAAGGAAAACTTAATAAGTGCCCCCCACCCCCCACCCCACCCCCTCGATTAAGTGCCCTACTTCAAATTAACGACCTTCCATTTAGGAAAAATTTAAATAAGCGCCCAGGCGTTTATTCGAGGACATATGGTAAGTCATATTTAGGAAGCTTAAGGTGGCTTGAGTGGATTTTTTGGGGTTGATACCTCCCAACTTTGAACATTAACTACGTCGGCATGAGTAAAGATATGGAAAAAAGGTTACCACAACTGTATTATATAAAGATGAAAATTTCGTATGATCTGGGTTTTATTGCAATCAGAGTCGCCATGGCAACGTAATGACGCCATTATGTTTTTCATTTATCTTTGTGTTTCTCTGTCCCAGGAGTTTTTTGAAGAAATCGCTTAAGGGAGTATGTACCTGCTATAATTGCCTCCATTATGGCAAAGTTTACCTGTTATGTTATGACGTTTTCTGAAGTCCTCAATACAAGCCTTATCCTCAGGCAGAATAATCCTCACTTTTGCTGGATACTGCCAATAAGTAGTGAAAACAACATCAATTGAATCAGCAGGTCCTGTGTTATTTTCCTCCCCAAGTGACGTCACTATACTTCCGGTGGCCATCAATCTTTGATACCCACCGTGATCTGGTACGCCGATATGCCTTTTCGCCCGCGCTTGTGAGCTGGTGTTTTCTTTTTTTTTTTCCTTTTCTTGTAGATCTTTCTCTGTGGACTCGTGCTCCAAACTGAAATAGTCCTCTGCGAAAACAAACAAATGCTGATAAACAAACACCACAACTGCGATGACAGAAAAAAAAACTGATTGGCCACTGTAAAGAGATTAGCCTGCGGGCAAGGTCCTGGGAAGTGGGTGTCGGGGAGGGGAAAGAACGAGAGCTTCTCGTTCTCTCCCCATTTTCGTCCCCGCCTTCCTCCACACGCAAAAGAAAGTTATCATAAGTATGTACATAGCCTGCAAGCAAGGTCTCAATTTGAGGAAGTCGCGACACGTCGCGCGAGCCGCTCGCTCGAGTTTTCTCTCGCAGTTTGCTTCGCTTCGTAAATGGAGGGCTTGCTGTCAAGCAAAACACAGTTTGAAAGACGAGACTGGACTGAACGAAATTCGAAACGTTTTGGCAAAGAAAAACGTGCGAATTTTTCGACTGAAAACCATACCTGCTTAAGCAGCCACGACAATGACCTAACATCAAAAAAGGAGGTTTTATGAGCAAGACAAAAGCTCTACACGTGCATCACGCTTTTCAGTTCATTTCTTTGATGTCCACTGCACGACTACGACATGAAACTTCCTAATGCCGTGTTTCATGGAGGACATGAACATATACGACGATTTTTCCATTCTCTTTTTAAACCTGGATAAAGTCTTTACGAATTTCACCCCAAGAAAAATCGCCTGCAGTTGACAACTTGAGTGGCTCTAAATAGACGCAATAAAGTTATGAAAGGACGCAAATTAACCCTTTCAGTCCCAATGGTGTCCAACATCAATATTCTCCTAACACTATCCATACATTGTTAAGAGATTAGGTTATGAGAATTAATAAAATGATCACCAAAGAGAAAATACCTTGATCTTTTACCAAATTCTCTTAACTCATTCTTCAAGGAAAAGTATGAAGACCAGTGTGGAGAATTTGTATGTGGATATTGGGACTTAAAGGGTTAATTTCTGTTCTAGTCAACGTGGTCGATGCTTAAGCTCCCTATATTCGAGACCAACGAAAAAAGATTGAAGCGACTTCGAGGAGGAGAGAGTATTGAGTTTTCAGACTCCAGCATCACACTGGCGAGCTAAAACTTACAGTACTCTTAGTTTGGACAACTTTTACAACAAGGTCCATTTATACTTTGATTTAGCTTTTAATGGAAGCCTTTGTAATGTGCTATTATTTTAGTGAAACAATAAAAACGTTAATTTTCAGACGCCTAGGTAGCGTTATTTGCCTTCAGCTAGACCCAGAAATATATCTAAAGAAGTTTAAGGCCTTGCCTAATAGGGACCTTACGATCGAACAACAGCGACGTCCATGAAAACGTCGCTGAAAAATAGGCTCCGCATCTTTTCAAACCGTTTCGCGATTATCTCAAGTCACCCAGTTACTTAAAAGAAGAGAACTTATGCTGGAGCTGAAGAGAGGGGCCACGCCCGAGTTCAGACAGAGAGGGTAGAATTTATCGCCTCGCCGTTTCCGTCCTTCAAAAAACTTAAATTTGGTCATTTCACGTAGTAGTCATGCTGGAACGTCAAAGAAATGTACAAAAAAGCGTGATGCACGTACAGAGTTGTTGTTTTGCGAACTAAACCAAGAGCCATAATCCCATTATGGCTCTTGACTAAACCTATTGCTTTTTGACGCCGCTACTTCTCAGGCCCTCGCGGTCAATGCATTTCGGTGATCTATCCGAGACCAACGGAGAACTCGCTCCGATCATGTGACCCGAAAAGCATTGCCTGCGCGGAATAATGAGGCCTAGGGACTACGCAACTTAAAGGCCTACAAAGATGATCTCACCTGAATAGTATATATCATTGCCAGGAAAGCCCATGTTCTTATTCATCACACGAAGCTTACTGAAGCTCTTAGCATTGTACCTCAGCTTACAAGTGTCAGCACGACTCTGCTCATGTACATTAGTGCCTTCAACAAATTTGAATGTTCCCCCTTCTCCTTCATGGCCAATGCAGTCAGACACCCAGTAAATGAAAAGGTCATTACCCACTCCCTGCATGCTGACAGTTAGCGGTGATGTGTTGGCCATTGATGAAGATTTGACAAAAGGTACGACCAAAGGCTTGCCTGATTTCCCATCCAGCACTGTCACCTGTCAATCAATTATTAACCCTCTAAGTCCCAATGGTGAATACCAGCAAAAAATGTAATGATGCAATGGCTGGTAATAATGGCTTCAAAATAATGGAAAACAAGAAAGTTACGATAATGATTTTTTAACTGATGCCAGCCAACTTACATTGGAATAGAAATACACTGGGAACCCTGTGCCTGTATTGTACCTAACAAGGAAGTCAGGAATATCATCTTTGTTGTAGAAGCCAGCAGCTGGAATTCTAAAATTAAATACGATAAAAAATACAAATCAATAATGCAAAGAAAAATAAAAGTAACATGGACCACAGCCACAGATAGCTGACAGGTTTCACTAATAAGCACAAAGACTCCACAATTAAATGACTCAAACACTGCCACCCTGAATTCGAAGTAAGACCAATGGAGAGCTTTTAAATCCTGTAATAAGCATCAAAGTAGCACAAAACTGAGTATTAATTTACCAAAAGACCAATAATTTGCAATAATTTTGTAACAGCAGAGACATGGAGTTGAGCTTGGGTCAGGGCAGGGTCTGAAACCAGGGGTATGTCACCTCTTTTTTACCTGCTAGTATTGGGGAGGTAAAGGAATTAAATTAACTGCAAAAACTGTGGACGAAGATCCTACTGGTTATAAACGTTGGATCTCTAGAAAAGAGATCTAATCAGCTAAAATATTAAGAACCAAAAAATGAGAAGTTACCATTGGACTTCTCGTTTATTGGGGAGATACTTATTTGAGGAAATGGCAGAGGTGCTTTTCTTTGAAGAAGCCTCATTTGATGAGATGTAACAATTCTAGGGGTGGTTGCCCACTGAGCAGTCAAAAGATGATGACAACAACAATGACGACAACAATGATGATGATGATAGTAATAAGTAAGAAAGGATTAACAATGTATGATACTTCGGAAACAAAATCATGTGCAGCAAAGTTTCAACTTTGAAGAAAACTTGTTCTTGAACTTGAACAATAAGCCTACAGCAGTGGAAACTTGATGTAACAAAGGACCAAGGAGAAGGGAAAATAAGTGAACTATCACAAGGCTTTGTTATATCATAGTCCTTTTCTGCATACTTTACTGTAACTAGGGCAAAGAATATCCCGTAGATATACCATGTTATATAGGTGTTTGTTATATGAAGGAACCCATGTAATAATTACATCAGAACAAAAATGACAGAGATCTGGTCAAAATGACCAAAAGCATAAACTTACGAGTAACTTTCACTTGATGGAAAAACAAAATCCCATAGTCTTTCATGGGTTTCACCATCAAAAGCAACAACAGTTGTGTTATACATTGCCATGACAATGTCAACAGTTCCATCTTTGTTTAAATCCACAAGAACAGGTGGATTCATCACCCCTACAATGACAAAATGAAAAGAAAATGATTAAAAATTACTGCAAAACTCAGATAGCCAAGGCTGTGTTCTAAAAAATTTAGAGGGCCACAAACTCTGAACCTAAGAAATCCAGTACTTAAGACTTGTGCAAAAGCTGAGATGGAGACCTAATTTATCATTTCAAGCCATATGTGAGTTGAGTTTGTTGTTGGTTCTCTTCTTTGCTCTGAGAGGTTTTTCTCTGGGTAATCCGGTTTTCCCCTCTCCAACATTTCCAAATTCCAATTCAACCAGGAATCAGGTAGACGAAGAATCACTTTGTGGGTGTGCTACCTCTAAATCAATATATTTTAGTTGCTTATTTACTACAATTTTTATTGTGATTATGACTTGCCTTTGTTACATACTTAAATTTACTAGCTAAAATTAATAAGTATAATAGGGAAGACAGTCTCAAGAAGCCATGAAGGCTTTTAGCTGAGACTTAATCTGTCCATTGGAATAACAGAGAAAGTGTCCACATGGCACTTTCTCATCCCTCCCCCCCCCACCTCCTGTCCACTATCAACTGATTACCTGCAAGCAACCTTGAATAATAAGAGGCATAAAATTTATAATACTACTGACAATAACACAAATCGTAAGGTACTGTACCTTTAAAATCATCTTTGTAAATAAGCTTAGCTCTCTCTATCAGGCCATTAAACAGATCAAGCAAAGAAACAACCCATAATCCACCTGGGTGAGTTTCTCCTCCAGTCCCAAACAGAACAAGTTCAATGCCGTCTTTCTTGGTGTATATAACTGGTGAGAAGTAGGTCTCTCTTTCATCTGGGGTCTTTGCCCATGTCAGCACTTCACCAGTCTTTCCAGAGAAAATCAAAATACGTCCTACCAGGCGCTGAGGACTGCCGGGGTCACTGGATAAAGGACAAGGGCATTAGAAGCTTGTTATTAGGAGCTTGTTAGATGGCAGGGCTGTCATTAAGAGGCGGGGGCCAGAGATTTCCCCTGGCTACTATTAATGTGGCCCCCGGCTACTTCGCAATCCATAGGAAAAGAGAAGAAACATAGCACTAAAAGAAATCCCTAGCTGTTTTATTCCCTGCATACTTGATTTTAGTAAAGAAACACAATCTCAGACTGCCTCAATTTTGCTTGAATTGTACTACAACATTATTTTGGGAAGACAGTTCTTTCAATTCCTTCATTTTAATTATTATGAAATCGTGTAGGACACTATCCCACAGTTCAAAAGCCAAAGAGAATATTTTTTTACTACACAAGTAAAATACTCACGCCTTAGGATCTCCACCATGTGTAACCAAAACTTCCATTGCACCATCGCTGTTCAAGTCTCTGATAAACTGCCCTGTATACAAATTCATGTTAGTGTCTCGAGATTCTTGTGGTCCAAAGCCCCAAATCATGTTACCAGTCTTTCCACTGACAACTTCAAACACTCCTCCTCTTCCAGAGACCAAACAATCTCGGACACCATCAATGTCTAAATCTCCATTGCAGTTCACGCCATATATTTCATGCATTGTATAGTGCCTCCAAATCTCTTGACCAGTTTTACCATCAAGGGCCAGAAGCCCTCCATAGCAAGGGTATGTCCCATTGAAGTATAAGTCACAAGAGATTTTGGGTGCGTTGTAGCCATCTACACCAGTTGAAAAACCGACCATAAGGTCATCGATACCATCTTGATTTACGTCATTAGGACGCACGGCTGTTTCTGTCATTAGTTTTGGAAATGACGAATGCCACACCTTTGTAGCAGAAACTTCGTCACAGGGAGCAAAGTTGTTCTCATCATCTAAAATACTTTGTTTATTTAAACTGAGTTTTTTGTCAAAATGAGGCTGTAAATGTGAAGCATTTTTCTTGGAGCCCAGTGAATCAATTGCACGTAGTATAAGAAGGACAAGTCCTGCTGAACATATTGTAAAAAATGCAAGCCAAAGGAAGCAGATTAAGCCAGCTCTAGCTGTACACCAAGGTTTTGAATGCGCTCTTCTTATTTTAGTGGTCCTCTTAGGCACCATTAATGGTTTCCGGACATTTCTTGTTGGACTGTGCAGCCCATAGCTATCATCAATTTCATCATCAAGATCATCTGAATCATCATCTTCATCACTCGCAAGATGAGAGAACTTGTTTGTTACTGGCTTGTATATGTTGCTCAGGGCCATACTGGTCTACAGGTCAATCTAAGTAAATGGTAGCAAGACAGACAGATACTAAATCAATAATCTCACAATTCTGCATTTAAGAACAAGCCAATCAGGCCCAAAGGATTTTTAACTGACTGCTTTTAAATGAAATACCACTGAAGAGTCACATACAACTTAAATCTCAAAGCTTAAAAATTAATTTTGCCTAAATATGCAAGAAACATAATTAATTTTTTTATCACTTCGCACAGTAGAAAAAAGAATCTGATTTGAAACAACAATATTATACCACCATTCAAGGAGTCACATACCACTATAATCTAAAGGCTTCAAAATAAACCTTGCCTTACCTGATGCCTTGTAATCAAGAATGATGAATAGCAAAATATTTCAAAGACAGCAAGGGTTTTAGAAGATAAAACTAATGTTCAATGGTGTGGGAGGGTGGAAATTATTCTGGAGCCATGAATCTTCCAAAAACTTCAACATTCATTGGCCTTTGAAAACATACCGCCTAATATTATTTTTTAAGGCAAGGGACATTGTTTGGTTCATTCACCTATTGTCTCATTAACTAGTTAAACAACTCGTTCTCTGACATTCACAACAAGCCAAATTATAAATTTAGTGATTCAAAAAGTGTGCACATACGTATTGGGCCCTGCATTCCATACCTGAAAATTTGCACGTCTGGAGGTAGATAGCTTCTTCCTGATTCAGCCAAGCAATAATAAAAATGGTAATCAAATCTTTAGAATTATACACACTTCTATTTTGTCTTTTAGTTCATAGAAAGTGATAAATTATGTTATTAAGATTATGAAAAGAGTATAATAACTTATGCACATTTCATCATAGTTTTGAAGTTATGTACTAAGTTTTAATTATTAAATAATTCCTTGACGTTCTTTTTATCTGAAATTGACACGTCACATTATAAAAATCAACCTAACTTGAAAATTTTTCACAAATCACTGTCGGTTAATTAAGTCATGTACTACTTCCTGTTGGCCTGAAAGTTTAATTTTAGACATTGAGATATTCAGATTATAAAAAAAGTATAATAACTTATGCATCATTTCATCATAGTTTTGAAGTTATGTACTAAGTTTTAATTTTTAAATAATTCCTTGACGTTCTTTTTATCTGAAATTGACACGTCACATTAGAAAAATCAACCTAAGTTGAAAATTTTTCACAAATCACTGTCGATTAATTAAGTCATGTACTACTTCCTGTTGGCCTAAAAGTTTAATTTTAGACATTGAGATATTCATCATTAAAGGTTACATTGAGCTGCGGTAATAATAAATTTAGCCTTAAATAGAAATAATTTAAAATTGAATGAGACCCTACGTGAGTTGTTGATTCTGTAATACCTCCTTAATTATTTACTACAATGACTACAACTGCCGAAAAAGTCGTCGGAAAATACCTGTTATAAACGCGATTTCACGTTAGTCAGCTTTGATCAGCAGTTATTTGGCGGTAGTTCGATACATCCTATGGTAAATACAACGGTGAAAATTCACTGAGTGTTAATATATGAAAAGGAAGCAAATACATACGAGAGTATTTGGTTACACAGCTGTGTCCAAGGCTTACTTACTCGGGTAGGGTAGGTTAGAGGTGACGAGGCCGGGCGAACGTCTCTTGTTTGAATGTCTGTTCTTTTACCGCTTTTACCGCGACTCACCTAAATTTACCTTGAAAACTTTTCAAAGAAATGGAGCAATAGATCAATTTGAAATAGTTCCTGGTATAAATTTAGGTCATCAAATAAAAGTGTACGGTACCCAGGCCAGGATACAGGGTAGTTCTTTTTCCATATTCCTTCCCAAGCCACCCCTAGATGGTAAACCGTAATTCGTGTGATTGGAGACTGGGACCAAAACGTAACATTCCAAAATGGCGGCGAAATGTGACCTGTCTTCTTTGCCTGTCATTCCTTTGGCGAATATCTTCTCTTTTTTGGACAAAAAAGACTTGGCACGGTGCAGTCAGGTTTGCCCTCGGTTCAATCAAGTCGCATCTGGCCTCCCTGCTTGGAAACGATGGTGTAAAGAAGTTTGGTTGCTTGAAGAATGCCCTCAAGGCAGAACTTGGAAGCAGTTGTTCTCAGAATGGAAGACGAACTGGGGTCGATACGAGTCGTGTTTCGCCTCCATTAAACGGGCGTGGAACATTATTGAAGAGTTTACCAAGCTTCACTGCCCGGAAATTTTTACCTCATTGAATCATGGGCTCACGGAGGAAGAAATTGATGTAACAGAATTAGGAAGGCTTAATGGTATTAGTTGAATTTTCTATTAACTGAAATTGTCATTGTTGAGTTTCCAATTTTTTATGTACTTTTTTTTGTCAAAGAAATCACTTCTTGGTAGTACCTGTCATAACTTAATTCAATTCAATTCAATTTTATTTTTCACACTTTATAAAATATTCACATTATATATAGTAAGGTAGGAATACACTAATAAAGGAGAAGAAGAAGGAAAAAAAAGAAAATTAATGGCTTGGATAGAAGTGTACGGTGGTCAGAGGAGCTTAGCTTTCGAGCTAACCACCGCTGTATTATGATTGGAAATACATAATAAATGTGCGCTTGGTGCGATGGCAACTATGGATGATTATGCCAGCAGTCAGGTTATGTGAGACAGTCATATTACAACAATTATTAACAATTATTGTTACCTTTGAGAGTTAACTAGAGTTCACTTATATTCTATTTTGAACTTATGGTAGCTAAGTGTTTTTATCTTAGTAGGAATCTCTTCCCAAGTTTTGGTTATGGCAAACTTAAATGTGTGTTTGCCGTAATTTGACCTTACACGTGGTACATGAAAGTTAAGATTTGAGGCATATCTGGTATTGTGTGAGTGAATATCAGCAAGCCAGGTCAGGGTAATTTTCATCAAAGAACTACTCGCGGTGGGAAATTTTTCCATTGTTGAATAATTTTTTCTATTAACTCGAATTGTCACTGTTGATTTTCCTTTAAAAAAAAGTTTGAAGAAATCGCTCCTTGGTAATAGTACCTCATAACAAGCCACCCCAAATTATTTTATTCTGTAGGCTGTAAGCTTCCAACCGACCTAAGATGCTCACTTCGTATCCACAATGGACAGCGCCTTGTCAGTCCAGGTCTGATTGGTTCCATGGCGATATCAAACCACTATCAAAGTGAATCTCTTCTGGAGCTCAATGTGGCATCAAGCGGTCTTCAGCGAAGAGATGGCCTACGTAACTGTATTCCAGTTTCTTTTTGTGTGAATACTGGAAATGGACAATTCATGGCTCTTACAAATGAAGAAGGGCATAACCCTGGAGAAATCTTTTGGCCAAGCCCTGACCGCACTGTTGACAATTTTGATATTGCTCCTATGCGGATGCACCATTTTCTTGGTGGGAGCAATTTTGCGGAATGGCTCGTTACCTATGCAGACCAGTTGTCAAGGAACTGTTACCCCATTATTAAAAATGAAATCTTTAAGTTTCTGTTTTCCGCCACAACTACCACACAGGGAATCACCGTCACCACAACCACTGCATTTCTCCCAGAACTAAGCAGTGTGAAACCTCCACTGTTCTTCTTTACCTATCGCATCTCAATATCAATGGGGACTGAGTGCTCTGTGGTGAGTGTCAAGGACAGTGGCATCTGTTGTTACTGTGCATATGTGAATGCTTTATACAGCACATTTAAGTCTGCGAACATTCGCCACTAGATGTAAAGGTTTTTTGGCAGTTTATGAATATTATTAGTGCAAACATGATATTCCTTTCTCGGGTTAAGATGAACTCAACAAATTGGCCTGCTCTCAATGTATGGGTCTTCATAGCTCATTTGGTAGAGGACTGCGGGGTAACGCAGAGACCATGAGTTCGAATCCCATTGAATTCCAGAAATTTTCTTGGAGTTAATTTGCAATTGCTTAAATTGCAATTACCACTGCGATGATCACATCTTCATTTAAACATGATATTACAAAGAACCTTTATAGTATGCATATGGAGGTCTTGTTTTCTAGAAGAAAACAGAATGCCATTCATTATGCTGGGGTTTTGTTATTTGCGCTTTGTTGCATTGAGGTGTCACTGCATATGAGATTTAAGTAGATTTAACAATATTGCCTAGAAATTTCTAAAGCCCAGGAAAGGCTAAACATTTGTGGATATTTATCACCACAAGATTTTGGTAATAAAATGTGAAAAAGAACATGTGCTTGGTTATAAAGCAATGGAAAATGTGTAGTATTGAATGGTTATAACATGGTGTGAACAATAGCGAAAATTAGTACAACAGAGACAATGGTCTATATTATTCTTGATTTTTGCCTGCATAACATTTTTAGCTGGTCAAAGTAGCCTGTCAACTGCAAACAGTCATCTGGAGTGGTTTGCCCCTTAAGTATTTTTTAAAAAAGATTAGAGTGTAGTATTGACCATATGCTACTTTGGTTTCTCTACCTTTCAGATGGACAAATGTCAACTGACAACTCGACACTGGTACATTACTGATGCTAATGGCGTCAAAGAAGAGGTCCATGGTGATGGAGTTGTTGGTGAATTTCCTGTAATGTACCCTGGGGCCCTACATGAGTACATAAGTTGTACCACATTTTCTACCCCAACAGGGCTCATGGAGGGGCATTATGTGTTTAAATATTTGAATAAAAAGGGCACATTTAATGTCAAGATTCCACCTTTGAATTTCAAGAGCCTTCCTTTTGTAGTTGAAGAGAAGAGGATTTCAAACTTGTCTGAGAGTAGATGTGAAGGAAACAGCACCAGTTCAGGCTCGGATGACTAAAAGAGCATAAATTTATGTCCCTATGGAAGTGGACATTTGATGTTATAATAATTTATTATTTATTATTATTTATTATTCCTTTAAAATATTTTGCCATTTCTGATTGGCTCAAACTCTCCGGCTTATTCTTCATAACCAACCGGTGTTGACCAAACCTCTGTTTAAATCCTGAAACTGTGCAGAGAAATAGGCCAAAGTTTTGAAGAAAGTTTATGTGGAGGTAAGCTTGTTAAAAACTTGGAAATATTTTAATGAATAATAAAACAATAATAATTATTATTGCATTTGGCTTCCGTATGATATGAACAATTGTGCAGATCAAGGAGAATTTTATCCTTGGTGGATAACATCCTTCTCGATCTGCATAATTCTTAGCATCAAACTTGGCCTCATCCAGTAATATATTGCTTATACCACTACATGAGAAATTTCTGCAATTTGATTGGCTTAGAGCAGTGGTATTACAGCTAAATTTGAAATACCTACATGTGAAAATTACAAAACCTTTGCAGGTAGTAGTATAAACAAATAATAGCATGATTTGTACGTGATATTTGACATAAATACCACTCGTGATATTTCAAAATTGTCTCAAATTTCACTCACCTAACGGCTCATGAAATAACGTATAACAATTTTAAAATATCAGTCGTGGTATTTATGCCAAATATCACCACTAATCATGCTATTACTTATACTAATTGTTCGACAGCATTCTCATTGTATAAAATGTATATAGTTATTTGCCATGAATATCCCAGTTGTATACTGATTTTAATTTAATGTCAATTTAATGTCATTAACCTCTTTATTACGTGTAATTACTTGCTGTAATTTATTCTGTGTGGCAAAATAATAATAAAACACGTGTACTATCTTAGTCATTTTATAAAAATTAATAAGTTGATTGCTATTCAGGTTAATTTCATGTGTGTATACAGTTGTTACTGAATATTTGTAGTTTTTCTTTTGTTTTCATTAAAAAGGGAACTTTACTATGTGATATACATTTTATCATTGTAACTTTTGCAATGCAGTATTTTAATGTTATTAGTTTTCAACCACTTTCAATTTTGCATACATAGAGGCTATCCCACGGTCATCTTTTGACATATCTATGTTTTGATGTACATTTGAAATGAGCCAATCACAAGCTCATGTCACCTTGATGGAAATGAGCAACAAGTTTAGAAGATCATGCTTTAGACTGTGATTGGGGGATTTTGATCTGTCTTATTTAAAGCATGCTGAAAGGTAGACTACAAGCAGTCTCTATTTTCTTAGTCCGTCAAGCAAAACGCGAGACACGCAAATGACCACGTGCATGACTGAAGGGGCGAGACGGGAGGGGCACGTTTCTCCTCTCACTAAATGTGAAGAAAAAGAGAGACTGCTCGCAGTCTAGCTGAAAGGTGGATGCCAACAGATAGTGGCTATGAATGTTACTCTGAAAACGGTTGTAACATCTCTAATTCACACATTGAAATGTAAGTATTTTGTAGCACCAAAATAAATAAATACTTAAACTTTGTACTTAAAGAGGCTCTGTTATGTGCGGTCTGGTCTATTATTTTTGTGTAGTAACTAATTTTATTTCTTGCCCTCTCTCACTATAGACTGAACTTTAATTAATGTTAACAAAGAAAATATTTTTTCTCACTTGTAAGTGACAAGATCACACCTTCGTGATAAATGTTGAACAAACAACAGAGATTAACTTCGAAAACAGTTAGGCTGGACAGTTTTCAAAAATATCCAATTGCAAATTGGATTTGGAATTTTTTGAAAACTGTCTGTTGTACTCTTCACTTTTCCACATCCATTTTCTATTTTATTGTGTTATTTAAACCAGGGTGTCAATAGCCTGTGTGGCTGGTTTTAAAAGGGGAAGAGGAAGGGGGAATGTGGGCGTGCAAGAGCGCCAGGGGCACATGAGGAGGGGGAAAAATGGGGTCACGTTTCCCTTGTGCACCCAAATTCTCCCTTACCCTTCCCCCCTTTTAACACCTGCCAAGCAGGCTGGGGTGCCAAGGGTTTACATTTTGTAAAAAAACTAAGAATTCTATGAAAACAAATTCAAAGTAAATTTCCATAGGCTGGAGTACAGCTGTGATATTTCTTGGTGTTCTGTTCATGTCTTAAAACATGGGGTGCCACACAATTTCCAACTTGCCATCTCTCAGCTGATGCAATGCAATAAGATACCATAGGGAATAAGGTTAGAGGACAGAGTGGGAATCATCATGGGTGTCGTCTTGTCTGGCGCATCATGCAAGGGATGCAACAATTACATCTCAAGTTTCCAATTATTACTTAATATTAACTACCTCGGAAAATTAGAGAAGAGAGATTGTTAAATTGAAAACCAAGATTACTTCCCAAGGAGTGTTAATAGTCAATGATAATAGAAAACTGAGATGCAACTGTTGCATACCAGACAAGATTGAAGATTTGAAACCAGCAAGGTTGACTGTCTTCAATCTAATTTAAATCCCTTCCGACACAAGTCATTAAGAAACAGGGACAGATAAATAGCAACTGCTTATGATATAGCCAATACATGATCAGGAGGCAGAATATGATCTTATCTTAAGATGTTTCCTTTCTTTTCTTTTTAACCTTTATTTGGTTCCCGTGACAATAGGCTTGTTTAGCTTGTATGTTTTGTTTTCACATTGCCAATGTTATGTTACCCCAGGGCACTGTTTCCTTCAAATGTCAACTATTCGTATGCATAACTAACAAAAAGCCAAGAGGCAACTTCCCTGGAGAACATCACATGGTCTGAATTGGTAAAATAAAACCTACAAGCAAAAAAAGTCTACAAAAAACAGTCAGTATTCTCCTTGACACCTTAATATTTAGTATTATTGGACCACACAAAAGAGGTGATCTACAATGGGCAATTGGCAGATGGATCAAAATACACTCTAAAAAAAAATGAAAACAGGGTGGGAGGAGGTGAACAACACATTATTATTTTACAACCAGCAAAACAAGAACTGTTTACACTTTCTCAGACTTTATTGACAGCATGTTTCCAGTCACTTCACAATTCTTTCTTTTTAACTACTTTTTACCAATTTAAAGCATTACAGTTACTTCTTTAACCTTTAAGCCTAATGTGGAAATACAAATTATCCTTTCTTGTCCCTCTACAAGTAACATTTCAAAGCTGTTCAAATTTTAAGAGAATTCTACACCTTTGGTGTTCATAACTGTAATAATTAAAATTATAGATATAGAAATTGATGAAAAAACAGTATTTCTCCTGCTCTTAAAAAAATAATACTGCGATGGTTGAAGTGAAATATTTTTCACAAGTGAAAATGGACCATAGTATATGTCACTGTCAGTGGCATATGAGCATGAAACTTGTGCTGTTACAAAAATCTCTCTACTTAAGGTATATAAACATCACTGAAATTGAACTTAAAATCAAATTGTCTAGAGTTTTAACAAGCCATAACAATAAGCTGGCTTAGATCGGCTCTTTTCATGGTATGAGAGTTGTCTGGTAGAGTTTTTTCATCAAGATCTATAACATTACTGGTATTTGGCCGACTTGGATAACAAATTTTATCTTTTATTCTGGTAGTATTTCTCTTAGGCTCAATCTCAGCCATCTCCTTTGTCCAGGCATTTGAAAGGGAAAGAAAATCCAGGCGCACAAGAAGCATGAATGGCCTCCCTTATTCATCATGTGCATTCTCACGCCCAAATACCCTCCCTCTTCCCTTTCAAATGCCTGCCAAACAGGCATCGCAAGTAGTGGCTGGTAATCCAGCTCATATTTTTCATGAATGTTAAGTTTTTTTTCATTTCAGAAACTTGATAGAAAATGTGTATTGGAGCTGTATGGGATTTACAGCTCCCCTATGTAACTACTCATACAGATCTGAGGCTCAAAACCCTATAATTTTTAACACTCAAAGATAAAATTTGCACCCCAGTGCTTCCATGTAATTTAACCCCTTTAAGCCCCAATATCAACATACAAATTCTCCGGAACGATTTTCATACATTTCCTTAAAAAATTAGTTCAGAGAATTTGAAAAAAGATCACAGGAGTTTCCTTTCCTGATCATTTTACGATTTTTCACAACCTTTTCTTTTGATTATGTATTGATATCGTTAGGAGAAAATTGATGTTGGTTACTCTTGGACTTGAAGGGATAACTTAGCCTCAATTTTCTATGATCTATCAGACTTCTTGGAATTGACAATAGGAGAAATTTGATTCTGGTCATTGTCAGGCTGGGCTTAAAACTATACCCCTGTAAAAGTACTAATAAAACACATCAATCATCAAATTTCAGCTTTTGTTAATTAAGAAGTTAAGAAAGCAAAATCACTGAAAAAAAGTCATTATTAGATATCATAATAAATCTTTTACTCAATTGACTACTCTTATAACGGTCTCTTTGCATGCCCTTTGAATAAAGTCATCATATCGTTTAGCCCCATACTCATATCGAAATGACATCAAGTCCCAATTTTACCCTTAAGATGTACTAACCCTTGTGTGCTTTCATTGTTTTCAAGGGAAAAGAGTTCAGATGGAGGTTACCAAGTTAGAATTACTTCTTCTCCCTAGTTATATATCAGTCTATCTTCTAGAGTTAATAATGGGGCTAAATTGTGTTGACAGTTTGATTTCTCTAGAAAACAAACTGCAACTGCAAAGTGTAAAATTTCATTTTCTATTTTTTTGTATTTTTTACCAAACTTTTAAGTAATCTTTCCACCAAATCTGAAGACCTGGGAATCATAAGTGTGTTGAATAATAAATTGTCAAAAAGGCCAAGTTCAAGTCAAAGAGAGTGTTCTTTGTATGGCAAAAGCAAATCTGGGTGAAAGATTACTTTTAATGTCTTTCAAGCTACCGCTCACTGAACAATACAACAAATTCTTACTATTAATAGAGGCAATATCACTTTTCTATAACATATCATTCTGCTTTATAGTCAACCCTCCAAGAATTCATCAGAGACCTTTAGATTCAAGGACAAGGACGACTAAGAGATTTGACAAGACACCTTGAAAAGCTTTCTTTTACTTTTTTTTTCACTAGAAAAATTGGCTCACCCCATAAAAAAAATGTTTACTTCTAACATTTGATTGTTTCTGTCACTCTGTAACTTTCGCAAAACCTGTACTATAATGATAATGGCTATTGCGTTTTCCCACCAAAATGACAGTGGCTCAGGTTTGTGTACTACTTAGTATTAAGAAAATCTCGTCCTCTTAGAACTTTGAATCTAAAGTTCTGTATTTTCCTGGTTAGAAGATGGGGTAGCCACATTGCCTTGTGAGCAACTGAGCAGAGAAGTGAAATCCCCACTCAGAAGAAGTTACAGCTACACCAAGAAATAACTAATAACAACAGCAATAATGATAATCATTACAACAGAAAATTGAACATACAATTAATTTTTTTAACAAAACATGTAAAGAAAAGTTATATGAACAAACTACGCACATGATATGATTGTAGAGTGAGAGATCAATAACTTTATCAATCTTGAAACCCTGCACAGATCATGGTAATATAAAAAAAACTTAGTGATCAAACCTTATTTAGAGTGGGTCTACAAGATTTGATAGTTGCCACCTGAAAAATTACCAACATTGTTATTTGCAGAAAGCCTAACTAGCGAAAAACAAATACAAAAGAACAAACAAAGAAATTGGTTAAGTTTACACAACAGAAACTAACATAAAACTAAGTCAGTTTAAAATGCTGGCAACTGTGTTAATACATTTGCGAGAAGCTAAACAAACAAAAAGATTTGGCGAACACATTAATTTTACTGTGTTATGTCTCTTCATAAGTTATAAACTAAAAGATGTTTCTTATGAAGAATTGACTGTACCTTGAAAGTACGCTAATGGCAGAGGAGTAATGAGTAATAGGAATGGACAATCAACATTACCCAGACTTCTAAGAGCCATATCTGTGAAGCAGACTTGGCGTATAGAATAAGTTGCCATGCAGATCTTAATTTATCACTAGAGTGACTGCAGATCTCTACTGTTTTTTTTTTTAAGAGATCTTTCACAAAACTAAAATTGAGGCAGAGACATTGACGATGGAATGCTCAGAGCTTTTCTCTGCCTGCACCTTGGATATCTCTGAGCTGATAAGGTTCTAGAAATCTTTCCAGAACATACAAGTTCAGTCATCAAGGGGATCGTATGGTCTGAACAATTCTCTTTACGGAAGCATTGAGGATCAAAAAGAGAATAAAATAAATAATTATCCTACAAAAGAAATCTGTCTGCAGCATTATGAACACTTACAAAATACATGAAATGATTTCAAACTGTCTCACCCAAAAAACTGATAAAGACAGGGACGTTTCGTGAAACATTAATTTCAAAGATAATGGTAAATCAGAGCTTTGGATTACAAGAAAAGTTATTTGACTCCTAAAGTGTACTTGACTAAGGTACCTTAAAGATATTCTTCAGAAATGTTTATGGACAGATTGATCTCCCTTGGTTTTTTACTCCTGTACTTGTTGATAGCCGTAAGCTTTTTAAATGGCCCGTGGGAAAACTTCCCATTTGGAAGGAACAAGACTAATTCAGAGCAGTTAAATTACTATCTTCTGTTTTGTTTAGATATTACAGAAGTTTCTCCAAAAAAATTAACTAATTTTGTCATGGAACTGGCCCCCAAAGCCAATAAGCTTTTAACTTTTCTTTTTGCCCACTACTTGGAGCAGAAGGGAGCCTAGGGACACTACAGTGATGACAACAACGAAATGTTAGAAAACAAATGGATTTAATTAGCCTAACTCTAAAAAAAAAAGCAATTCTCCAAGTGCAACACACTTTTTGGGCCATTTCTTTGCTATTCCCTTGCAATGACAACATGAATTTTTCCTTTAGTGGTCCCTAGCAATTCAATTCAAGGAAAACTGACCGATATTTAACAACCTGAGAATAACCAAGCTGCAGTGTCAGAGAACATTAAAATTTTAAAAAAGAGAGAGAGAGAGACGTTTTTGCTGTCATCACTATGGTGGTTGGTTAGACTCCCTATTGGACTCTGGGGACAAAAATGTTGGGTCATTCTGTGAGATAAAACACAAAAGCAGTACAATAGCTTGTTCCATTAAATTTGCCAGACTTAGGATCTAAATAAATTGTGTAAAATCTCATTTTACACGGTCTAGCCAAGTTGTTGATATAAAAATAAAGTTTATGCTATATCCTACAATCACTTGAATTTGTAAGTAAATAATTATTATTTCAACTTGAGAACAAGTCTGTCTGAAATATTGTAGGCAAGTAACAACAGAAAGCGGCATGTTACTAACTTCACCTTCAAGCTGAGAACACAAAGGAAGATATTTTCAGCCTTCCATCTGCATTATCTAGGCTTGATTACTCGTTGGCTCTGGGGGAATGTACCCATGTTCTCCCAGGTCCCACCCAGTGCCACACCTTAAATGAAGGGCAGTAATCAAGCCTAGTTGTTATTTTGAATCTTAGTCATTAGTGCTACAACAGCATACCAGCCAACAAGATTGGTTTCTGGACACTCTTTTAAGTACTACCAGTAATAGTGAACTATAGACTTTGATTTAGCACTAACAATAATTTTTAAGATTAAATCTTGTATTACTGAAGATGAAAGAATGGAAATTCAACTACCAAGTGTTTAGTAGAGAAATACAAATTCAAAATAATTGTTCTTACCCACAAAAAGGCAAAAAGTTACTGAATGCTTGGAGAGAGCAAAACCATGTAACAATTTCTTTTTTGTGGTGTTGTTGATCTATCTTTGCAAAAAAAAAAAAAGCATTCTTAACTTTTCATCTCAAGCAAAATGCTTGACAATCCTTCCAAGGCAAAGATAAAGTCCCTCAGAAAATAAATCCGGAACTCAGTTATAATTTGTATTATATACATATGTACAAGTTTATAACAAATAAATAATCACACACAATACACATGAACATACATGTAACAATGAAAAGCTCCAAACTTCAACACGCACTGCTTTCTTTGAATCCCTTCGAAAAAACACTGAGCTTTGAAATAAGGTCCTTAGATGAATTCATACCACTAAAGCAAGTCTTAGGATCAATCCTAACCATCTTAACTTAAAACAGAGAATGTCAGGGATTTACCATAGATTGGAGTTTACTCTGTTTCTCTAACAACCTTACAATAATTCATGACGACTGCTTTAAACTAGTCTTCATTTAAAACTGTGAGCATCTTTTTCTCATGGGCATGTTCATTTGCTCTGCTAAAAGTTATTTCTCATATCGAGTACCTTCCGTTCCTCACATACTTTACTAGCAAAATACGAGAAACAGTAAAACATCTGTCATAAAACGTCAGCACTCTGCTCAACATAAAATGTGCCACATTCACAGCTCAGTAACTCTTTTTTTTTTCTAAACCCTAAAGCATGCTTGCTATCGGCCCTAAATTCACCAACGTTGGACCTTTTTTACTACTGCAAATATCAAAAACTGTCCATCTAGCCTTTTCTCAGCTGCTAAAATAAGAGAGTAGTTTCCAAAGCACAAGTTAAATTTACCACTCTACAACCTTTCCTACAAGCTTGGAGCTTATCTGTTACTCACGACAGTTCTTAGTTACAGGCTACAATCAAATGTTAATCCTACTGGCTTTTCACTGTCACCCTCACTTAAGCGGAACAGATTAAACCCAATCTTCCCTCACAACTATGATTCACTCATTAATTTTGTAATGGAATGTAATACTATTCATAGGTGAAGAACATGCAATCCAAAATGATGAAAACAATAGTGATGGAAGTGAAACATTATTTTGTAACTCATGGAGGGCTTCTAACCCTAAAGTCGACAAAGCCACAATTCCAAAAAAATTTAAATTTCACTTTGTAACACAATGAAAAATACCCAGAGTGCCAGAGTGTTTGGTTAGGTCTTTTTAATGACCATTTGGCCACTTGTAACTTTGGCCAAAGATCTGTTGGCCAGCACTAAAGCACCCCAACACATACAAAAGAAAAAAACCTCTGGAACCAAGGGTAACAGAAAAACAAAAATGTTTAGGTGCTCCCAAAGATCATACCATAGGATTTTGTCCACAGACTCAAAAGTTATAACCACCTTTCAAGAGTCCATTTTTTTCACTCAAGGAATGAAAGGGCTAAATTTCACTAAAGTCATGTTACACTGTGGTCTCACTTTGCTTTGAAAACAATCTGAAAAACATCAACAATCAATTCAGAGAGCTCTCGGTCACTAACAATTACAGCAAAAATAACTATAAAAATTTGGCAGAGCAGAACAGATAATACAAAACTGGTGATTATTCTGAACAATGTTTTGAGAAGGTGACAGTGACAAGCTTCCTCTTACACATACATCACAAACACAAGCTACACGATTGTCTTCCTGAATATCAGAAAGGTTTAAATACTAAATATTTGTGTCAAGGTCAATTTGCTTCTATGAAGCTTCCTTGTGTGCCTCTGCAACTCTGGTAGGAGAACATAAGTAAAGTACAGGCAAGAAGAATATAATATGAAGCAAGTAGGGACAGCCAATATCATTATTGGTAAAGCAAATTCTTTTCACTAAGGTATGTGTTGTGGTTTGATTTTTTGAAGGGTTTATAATTCAAAAGTGCTTTATTTTCATTATGCTTTGTTTCAGATTATGACAGAAACTCAAACAAATAAAACAAACCAAACAAACAACAAACCACAACACAATGATTATTAATTTATGCAATTTTCAATTGCACTCAGGCTGTTTTTGAACAACCCATACTAGTACTTCTACTCATTAAATAGAACAAGAATAGATGAACAAAAAGAAACAAAGTGCTTTTAGCACTATCACTAACAAAAGAGAATACCATGAATTTGCTTTACAACTTCTATGTTAAGTAAGGAATATTCTTATTCATAGCTATTACAGCCCAGGTGTATTCAAAAGTATAATGACTCTCTCACCTGACGTTTGTCAACTTTGTTCCAAACTTTTCATCTTACTCTAACTCTTCAATAACACTATAACATCTTGACTCCATTCGTTACAAAATTAATACTTCAAAAGACCATGATCTTGCACGCCTGTTATAAGTTTTCCTACCAGAATTCATCTGCACTTAGTCTTCATCCTCCGGTTGTTGCTGAAACTCTGCCACATAGAGTTTTTTGTCCACAACTTGAGGGAATGGCTTTATCTCTGTTTTCAGTTCTGTCTCGATTTTGTATAAGTCATATTTGTCATCGTTAGTGATAAGATTTATAGCAAGACCAAGATGTCCAAATCGGCCTGAGCGACCAATACGATGCAGATAGGTCTCAGAATTTTTGGGAAAGTCAAAGTTGATCACAACATTGACAGACTGGACATCAATTCCACGGGTGAATAAATCTGAAGAAATGAAAAGCATAAACAAAGTGAGCTATGATCATATCTTTTCCATTTATAGTAATCCAAGCTTTGGAAGCAAGCAACATGAAAATGCAATAACAAACAATATTTTCACTGAACCAATTTTTAATCCTTATTCATGAATCATGATAACCACCAACTTTGCGCATGCGCACACCATGTGCCTACATTGTGTTTGTGTTGTACACAAAGTTCTGTGCAAAAGTTTTTTCCAGTCGAAGTGGTTTTCATTACCATTGTTCCCTGTAGTTCCTGTTGCGTTTGTCCTCTGCTGGAGAGTTTTTGTTTTCCCATTGTAATGCCGCATCCATCGTGCTCGACCAACAACAGCTTATTGGCGGGCTTTCCTACCAAAGACTCCCTTCTGTCTACAGCAACATCTGAAAGTCCTGTGACGAGTACAGTTTCCAGTTCTTGGTCGCCTCAGTTGGCTGACTCCCTCCCCAAGGCTGTGGTTCGAGCAATTGGAAAACTCCATTCCTGCCATCATCTCATGAATCCAGAGCAAAGCCTCCTCACACGTTTCTTCTTCAGTTCCGGGCGTTCCAGTCCGTGGGTGAGCAGAAACTGACACCTCAGGGTCAAGGTGTCTGAAGTGTGGCCAGAAGAGACTCTTCTGAGGGACCCCTCTTTACAGTTAGTGATGGTCGCCCTCTTACTCGGCAACAGTTGTCATCCACAGTTCAGTCTACCTTGCACTCAGCTGGTTATATCGGCTCCTATTCAGGCCATAGCTTCCGTATTGGGGCAGCGACTACGGCCACTGCCCTGGGGGTTCCGGACCATCTGAACAAGACCCCAGGCCGGTGGTCTAGTGATGCCTACAATGTATATATTCGCACTCCATTTAGCTCCAGGGTCCACGTGTCCAGATGGCTGGTTACATAGCAGGTACCTCCACTGCCTTTGGGGCTGCCATGGGGTTGCCTCAGGCTTGGGCCCTAGGGGCCTGGGGCTCTGTAGCCCCGAGCCCCCTTGGTTGCTTTGGGTTTCTTACCTAGACGTCCCATTGGCTTGGGTCATGGCTGGGTTGCGGGTTGCAGGTTGGTAGGCCTGTGGGCGTTCTTCTGCCTTGGGGTGTGATTGCGGTTGCAGCCTAGTGGCCCATGGCCACCCAACCTCTACTTGCAACGCATGCATTAAACAACGATTTACCATTAATAGTTTGCGACCTGAGAAACAACTTGCTATTGCAGTCCTTAAGAGCGTGCAAAGATGGCTGGTATCGTGAATAAGGTCTATTGCAATTGTATAAATTAATAATGACGTGAACCAACCTGAGGATACAAGGGTTCTTGTTGCCCCACGTCTGAAGTCATGGAACACCCTATTTCGATGACTCTGGTCCATCCGTGCATGAATGAAAAAGCAGGAGTAATCGAGGTCAGTGATCTTCTTGGCCAGCAACTCCACACGTTGAACTGAGTTGCAAAAAATTATTGCCTGATTCACTTGCAGCTGAAACCAAAATATTTTATTAGAACTGTTAGTTAATGGAATAACAAGAAAAACATGTAAAGAAGATCCTCAAAACTTGTGCAGTTGTGAAAAAAAGCCTGAAACAATTCAGTCTTGCCAGGATTCAATCCCTGACCTCTGCAACGCCGCTACAGCGCTATAAATTAAATTCATTCATAATATGCCTGGGAAAGTTGAAGATGAAAATAATAATGAATAATATGAATTTCATATATCTGAACCATAAAATGAAGAAATAAATGCACAGGAGCTTGTAAAAATGGTCACTAAGGATGCACCAAAACGCATTACCTTGGAAAACAACGTGTTTAGGCAGTGCACTTTCTGTCTCTCTTCAAGGAATACATAATACTAGAAGGGGAAAATAACAAGAGCAGTAAAGAAGAATGTGCACAGCTTCTGAACGTGTACACTTGAAAAACCAGCATCACAATTTTAATAGGCCATTTGCACAATGGTGTCTTTTAACTACCAAGACCAGAATTCATTTTGTTTGTTCTTTCATATTTAAATTTGGTAATCACATGGCCAGTGAGGTTTAAATAACAGAATCCTAAACCTGCACAAGAAAGCAAAAAGCTGAAGGATTCTGGTTGTAGTGGTAAAATGACATCATCATAACTGGCCTTGAGTCCTGGTTCAATTAACAGTGAGTCTCAAATTGAAAAAAATGCTTGTAACCAGACATTAATCTGCAAACAGACTTCAAAACTCTTTATTACACTTTACTGAAATATTTTATAGTCCTTCCATTCAAATCACCAAAAATACATATGCATAGCTAAACAACAGCCTCAGGATGTTCTAAAAAACATCTTCAGATTGATCAATCGATTTTTTCGCCTATGGGATACATGCCATGAATAATTTTGCGTTTTGGAGGATTTTTTATGAGTCAGGGACGCAACACGTAGAGGTAAAAAAAATCACTGGCACATGCAAAGATGGCATGTATCGTGAATAAGGTCAATTCAGTGACTTTTATTAATGTAATTTCTTTATTAATAATTAATAAAGAAATTATATTAATAGTAAAGAAATAATATTATTAGTTACCTGGGTTATTCCTTTTAAAGTTAACTCCTCCATAAGGTTTATTTCATAGGCTTTTGGTAAGTGCTCGTCCTGCAGAATTGAAGCAATACAGGTTTATATAATGTATTGACTTGAATAAAATAAGGATTTGTCCATATTACCGTGATGCCAGGTCAAGCTCTCCCCATAGACTTCATTATTTGAAAAATGAAACGTTAGTCGTTGCGGCAACTCGTATCAAATTCTAATCTACATTCCTGCATTCGTAATGAGCAGTATTCTTTTATGATAACTTCCCTGTATTCCATCAGAATGAAAAAATCTTTGAATGGACAAAATAGCTTTGAAGACATTTCCATCAGGATTCAAGAACACTTAGATGGTAGAACTTCACACCTTCTTCACATTTGAATTCACTGCTCATTACGAATGCATGAATGAAAAGATGAATCTGAAATCTCAAACTACCAACCATTCAACTTTCAAATAATAAATTCATTAATAGAATCTGTGAGCTTGATCTGGCTTGACTGTAATGTTGCAGCTCACCTTGAATTCCTTGACGGAGAGTGGAAATGTAGCAGAGTACAAGAGAATCTGTCGGCTGCCAGGAAGGAAACCAATTATATCCTCTAACATTCCTTTAAAGTCCATGGACAACAGTTTGTCGGCCTTAAAAATAAAAAGAAATTATGTACAGTCGTACCTCCACTAACAACCACCTCTCCACAATGGCCACTTTTTTGATGGACAGTCCTTAGATTGACTCTTGTTTAAACCTCTCTACAAAAGCCACATCATTACAACAGCCACTTTTTTCTGTCCCCAAGGTGGCCCTGGTGGAGACGTTCAACTGTAGTGCTATGTACTTAAGATACAGCCTATAAAATGCTGGGGGAGAAATCTCAATTTTACAAGCCCCTTGCTTCTTCCAGATTATTTTCTTGCCATACCTTTTCCACCGTTTTTATTGTTGTTCCTTAAGCTCTCCAATAAATCCTTTACTGGCCAAGCTTGTTTGGTCAAGATGACTGGATATTGGCCTTTTTCATTTTTTTGCTTTTTAAATGACCTTGACATTGTCTTTGTCTACAAAAAATGCCAGCGATGTCACTAAGATTTCAAGTTACCAGGTAAATACAGCTAGTAGGCAGGGAATCAAAAGCTAGGGATTTCTTTTGGTTCTGTTTTCTTCTATTTTTCCTACGAAAGTACCAAGGAACCACATTCATAGTAGCCAGGGGAAATCCCCAGCTCCTGCCTCTTAATAACAGCCCTGAATGGCAAAAAAGAATTTGCCCAATATACAGCCATTTAGACCTCCCAAAAGTTGGTAACAGTTCTCTCAAAGAACATCTTACCTCATCCATAACAAGCATTTGACAACAGTCCATTTTAGCAACTCCCTTTCTCATTAAGTCAAGTATGCGACCAGGAGTAGCAATAATAATGTGAACTGCAAAGAAGGCCATACATTTAGGAACAGCGTTAATGTCAAACTTGCACAATGAATTTACTAATGACATGTCTTCAAACAGCAAGTTAAAATCGTATCTTCAAAAGTATACACACTTAGCAATACAAAGTCAGTACTGTCAAAGCATGTTAAAAGAGTAGAAGCCACAGTGTTTTTTTTAAAGTTTTGATGAAGACCTGGCTCTAGTTGTTCAAAACATGGATAGCGCTATCCACTGGATAAATCACTATCCAGTTTTCGAAATGCTTATCCATTGGGTAGCAATTTATCCGCTGGATAGCGCTATCTAACTTTTGAACAACCGGGGCCAACAGGTGAAAGTCCATCAACATGACTGGAAAGAGCGCCTTACAATAAACTTACCAAGTTCAAAGGTGATACGTCTAAAGCGAGCAAGGATATTGCTCCACAGAGTTACAAAAATTTTACAGAGGTTTGTATGGTGGGGGCACAAACTTGCCACTCACCGGATCCAATCAAAAATTGAAAAAACTGTCAAAGGGTATATTCGGATCTAAAAGCAGACTACTTTAGGTACCTGGATTGTAGAGTCTCATAATGTCATCTTTGAGACTTGTCCCTCCTGTGGTAACCATGACTTGAACACCAAGGTGTTTGCCAAGTTCTTTGCATATCTGTGACGTCTGAAGAGCAAGCTCACGTGTGGGAACCAGGACAAGAGCTGATAGAGATAAATATTTATGAATTTTCCAAGGTGTCAAAAAAAAGACTGAGGGGATAATAGCCCGCCACTTGGGATCTTTTGCAAAGAGAGGGGTCTGCGCCTCAGCAGACTGATGACATTAATAAATGTATATGTTGTAGTTAACTTTTTATCTCAAGTAATAATAAGGAAGTGTCTTCCATGGGGAAATGAGTAAGCACTTTTCAAACTCTTACAAACCATTAAAATAATGTGGATTTTCTTGCAGCCAAATTAACGAAATTCTGAGTCTTTTTTATAGATGAATGATATGGGCTGCTTCAGACAAATTTATATGTGGCTAAATATCATTTAGGCAAAGTTAAACTCGAGCGAGCTGGCTAGCGGCCTTCTCCCACTTCAGTATGTGACCTACGGGGCGGCCCGCGGGAAATTGCAGGGCTCCTTGTGTACTCTTTTGCTAGTGTCGCTTTGCATTGTAGCTTTGCTCTTTAATATGTGATAAGGTTGGAGAACTGAACCGCTTATAGAGCTCAGAAGAAGCTGTGAAACCCTCAGTGATGGTAGCACCCAAACCAATTGAAAAATAAACATGCAGAGTGCAAAGGAAGTCAGTTTTACAGTTTGCTATTCGGGCAAGCTGCAGCTAGCATTTACTGGCCCAAGAATCATTTACATTTGCCAGCAAAAGTACAGAATTCACTAGTGCAATAGCGAAATCCACAAGCTCCAGGCTATCAGACACAACTTTCTTTGCAGACTAAAACATAAACACAAGCCCATAAACTATCTGTGACCTACCTTGAATTTCCGACTTATCAGGATCACACTTTTCCAGAAGTGGTATCAGATAAGCAGCTGTTTTGCCAGTTCCATTTTTAGCTCTGGCTAAAATATGCTTTCCAGCTAAAGCCATGGGAATGCTTTCTTCTTGTATGGGTGACGGCTTTTCAAAACCTTTTTCAAATATCCCCATGAGCAGCTCCCTTTTAAGAAGGTAGTCTTCAAATTCATTTCCTTTGGTTGCTGTAACATCCTGTTATAGAGGAAATTTTATCGGAGGAAGCAAACATTTGGGTACATTGTTATCACTAGGCAGATTTGGCAAAGACAATGCAACCTTATGAGAACACAAACATGCAAGGAAAGGAATGAATGCAACAGCTCAATTTGTCATTCCACCATTGGCCAAATCATCTTCTACGTTTGTAGGTATGTAGCTCCTTCAATGTTGTCACATTGTCTTTATGACATCAGCCTAACAGAAGGGTTTCCAGTAGGTTCCTTAATGTAAGTACTATATAATCCAAGATTTTTGTTTGCTAGTGTAATTATTACACTATTCCGTTTGCAATAATTCAAGGGGTAGCCTGCACCAAAAACGAAACTAAACTCGGGTTAAGTCCGTCTGTGAAACAGTGCCAAAATCGTGTTCTGGGTCCCCACCTGTGAACCAGGATTTGAGTTCGCGCCATGATTGGCCTGTTAAAAAAAGCCATAGTGGATTTGCCAATCATGTTGAAGAGAAATATTTGAAACACACTTCTGGTAATTTGCTGAGTCCATAAGGGGCCCAGACCAAGGATCTTGGTACTGCTTTGCACATGTTACAAACCAAGGTTAAAGTAAATCTGTGATGCAGTCAATTCAAAGGGCAAGACACACATTTGCAATGTTTTCCTTTTGCTCTGTACAGGTTCTCTCATAAATGGGAATTACTCCCACGAATTATTCCATGAACGTCATGGGTAAAAGGAGGCCACGAAGGGGGCGAAGACATCCGGGTATTTCGTGACATGTCAAATTTTCAGGTTGAAAAATAAAATTGAAACATTAGCAACCTAAATTAAAATGAAAAAGAGAAAAAAATAGAGACGGAAAGTACAATGACCACGCTATCGACTACAGAGGCACCTTACCAGGTTCACAGAACCAATTCTTAATCAAATTTCTGTTGGTGGCTTGGATCATGAACTCGTCGACTAATGGCTGTGTACATGTACTAATATTTTACTTAGCTTACGACAAAACCAACGAACATAACATTGAACAATATCCTTTCTCATTTATATCAACGCATGTTCAACAAAACACCCTAATCTGGGAATAACAAAAAACAAACGACAACTGAGGGGGTTGTTAGAAGCTTGAATACGTACAGTCGTTTGAATGCGTGTATCCTTCGCGGGAGCTTTCAAATTTGCTTTCCATGAATCGCGTCCTTCCCTGACAAGACAGTTAAAAAGAAAACTTGTTAACTAATGTACTGAAGAGGTTTATGGCACTACGTTGCAACAAGTGATTTGCAATTTCAAGCACTTACTTGCCCGCATTTCGCAAAGCGGATGGGACTGCTTCCGTTTTCGTTGCTGCCATTGCTGACGAGACGACAGGTCGAGATGTTCGTTTTCTCACGTCGCTATTTGGAGAGAAAAACGGCTCTCAATAGAGAAAAATATCTGTTTTATAGTTTTGAGTATGCACTGTATCTAAACTTGAAACTATGAGCGCGATGAATGAAGATTGTTTTCGTAAATCTGACTATCAGAATCCGCCGCCTCTGCTGTTCGCTTTCAATATGAAAATTCGTGACAGGCTCTGCCCCAGTTCCCTCTTTTGTCGCGCTGTAAAACGGGAATGGGAGAGTAGGGAGGGGCTGAAGAGGCAGCTAGTTACGGGTGCAAATAGCGCTCTCTCTCTCTCCCAGATTTTTTTGGGGGGAGGGGGCGTCTGTGCACAGGTTAAGGGTGCAAAAACCCAGGTGGGGTTTTCAAAGCATAACGGCAGGCATAATGGCAAGCGATTTACCTTTTTACCGCAGTTTTGCCCCTTCCTTGACTTGCTGAAATTTTATATACTTTGCCCCTTCCGCTACGGTTTGAATCCATAAAAAGGCGTGAATTTCGTGAGTCTGGAACCGCTAAATAGGCAAAATTGTAATACCGTTAAGTTCGTATTCACTAGGAAGGAAGGGGTTCCCTCAATTTTAATTTAGGCTGGAATTCCCGAAAAATGCATATCACCTTACATTAATCTTTCGTCCGGAATTTTCGAAATTTCTGGCTAAACAGTTATCATCCCTGTACCACCAGGCCTGCTGAATAAATGACCAGCGGGAATGATCGCACCCAGATCTCGAGCGACCACTACTTTTATTTTTCTTTTCAGGTTTTAAATTGGCCAGAAGAAGTGGGACAGGTTAAATTGAGTAACAGTAAGGACAGAGGAACAGAGGAATATCTGAGAAAATCAAAAATTGGAGTCGTGAGCAGAGTCATAAGCGCGACGGAATCGGATTCAGAGGAATCAACGTTTCCATTTTCTTCCGCCTCCGCTTATGACTCTGTCGCTTACGATAGAGTGAAAACCAGAATGTCAATCACAAAGCACGTTCCCACGCTTTGTGACTGGTTTAGTTTTTCTGCTTCTGCTTACAACTTCGATAACCTAGGTCAATTCACCTGATCGTAAACGACGGAGTCGTAAGCGGAATCAGAATGGTGTTTTCACTAGATCGTAAAGTTCTACGCTTCTGATTACGACTCTGATTTCGACTCCGTAGCTACCCGAAACCAGTGTTCAGAAGCGAACTCTAAAAATTAATAACCAGCTTACAATTGCGTTTTTCGCTGCCATCATAATTACGATCACCAGCTTTGGAACCTGAAAAACAGAAACACAGAAAATGGATCGAAATCCGCCAATCACAAATCACAAACCAGGAACTCTTTAATTCTTGAAGCATAGTTCTGTTTTCCTGAGAGGAATTTATTATCCCATCTAATAAATTTCGACTAACTATTTTATAAACATCCAATTATTTATTCATTTATTCCATTACAGAAATCGAACAAATAATTAGAACCGACATGTCAATTTAAAGGCGTAAATAAGAAAAACAAAGGTTGGGCATCCGCTCCTGGTTTAATCCCAAAAATTCAAGGGATATTTCAACAGATATAGCTTTTAAAAGATCTTAAGGAAGGTTAGTCTGTTAAGCGTAGCTCATTTTAATTTTCTACGCTTTATTTAGTGTCTGTGTCTATTATATAAATATATATATATATATATATATATATATATATATATATATCCAGCCGAATTTTTGAAAACGTGCGTCAAAAAGGCCCAACTGCAGAATATTGCACAGAGATCGCCAGGTTTCTGGTGACGGCGGTGAGAATGAAACCATTACAGTCTTTAAAGTCTTATCGTTGAATGTAAGGGGGTTACGTGATAACGTCAAGCGGAGAGCACCGCTTAAAATAGACTCTTGGCTTGATGTGACCGCGTTCCCCTCATTCCAAATGAAAATGCTTCAGTAGACGGTTCAACAATATCTGAAATCTTCTCTATCCAATGAAACTTTCTTCTGTAGTGATACCTTCTTCTGTGCGCACAATATAAAAACGTTCTTTTTTTGTTTTAGTTGTTGTTGTTGTTGTTGTTGTTTTGGTTTATTTTTATTTCACTATGTACTGTAATTACTGTATTTAACTGACTATTGTTGTTCACATGTATTGTACAAATTATGTAAGATTATTTTCTCTCTTTTTTCCAACAGTTTTAATAAATTAACGAAAAACATCGGCTCCTGGTTTGAGTAAAAACTGCGTAACTTTCCTACTTAACTTTTTCGTTAAGCTACTTTCTATTGTAACCTTTGGTGGCTAATTTAACCCGTCTTGATTAACTCGAGGCATGCTACAGTTTTCAGGCAAATACGGTTGTCCCCTTTTTGAGTTAAGAATGAAATCCTTAAACTACTATGTCAGTCGGTTTTTGTAAAATTCGGCATTAGCAGTATTTTTCATCACTGTGATGTCATTATTGGGCTACCTGTGGCACCCGATCAAAAGCTGTGTGGAAGAATTGGTTTCAGTTTATCCTTGACTTACATGTTCCGACAGCATCTTCAGTGTTAGGAGTAAACTCGAACTGCAAGTCTTTCTCTGCTGAGACACTGTGCTGCTCCTGAACAGACTTCATCGTACCGCTGGCTAAATCGTCAGTGCCTGTAAAGATGTAAATAGAAAGCAAGTACTACCACTCTTATTACAGCGATTATTTCGCAATAACTGAGCGATTTCTCGCATGCTGATTGGTCGAAAACTGTTATGTGATCTTTAGGCGGAGTATAGACCGAGGAATTGATGTGATGATGGCGCAATTTAACCAGAAAAGGAAGGTAAAAACTGTCAGTGTTATTGTAAGATCTTCAAACAGGAGCAACCAATGGATCTGTTCCTCAAATTTGTGCTGGCTGGGAGATTTCGAAAAATAATTTGTCCTTGTAAGGAAAGTGGTGCTTGAAAATAGACAATGCAGGGTGTCTGAGGGGATTTGACGTCTTGAATAGTTGCTATGTGCTATTTGTCACAACCCTGTTTCCCTCCCTCCTCCACTGAAGGGCTGAATTTTGCCCTATGACGACACCCAAACTGGCCAGTAATGTCTGGACGTACGTTTGCTGGGAAACTTTCCAGTAAGTCAGGTTGCAGCCAGATTGTAGGTGTACCTTGCTGGCTGGAACTGACTCTTCAGTCGGTCTTGCTGGGAGTGAGGAACAGATAAATTGTTCCCAGCAATCTCCCAAACTGCTTAAAATGGCTTCAGAAACTGTCTTCATGCCTTGTTGTTGTTTTTAGGTGTTTTTCTCAAAAATTTCCGTTGGGTTCCCCTGTTCAAAGCTTTGCCATGGAACCACGAGCCACACTTGAGATATAAACATTTTGTCACCATTTCTATGTTCTGTTAGAGTATAAACCATGAAAAATTGTTGTCCATTTTTAAATATATCAAAATGTGTAAACTAGTAATAATTAGGGCAGTGCGTTCGACTGGGGAGGGGAGGGGGGTAGTGGTAGTCATAATGGGATGCAAAACGTGTTGAGCTTGTGGCAAAATCAAAATCAAACACTTTTATCAAAATATGAATATCAAGAACCGTCCTTATTAGTGTTATTGCTTATCCTCCCACTTTACAATTCGTTACTATTTCATTTTTCCTCAAAAATGCAAGAGCGTCCTGTATTTTTTACATTTACTTGGCTTAGCCTCTAGGAAAGTACGTGTAAGTAACAGAAGGTCAAACACTGACAATGATCCTCAAAATATTGTTTTACACCCTAGGATTGTCAATAAAATTGGCTAAAAATTGGGCTACAAAAATTAAAGTAATCTGAAAAGTTCATTGATTAAGGTGTCGGAGTGTCGCGTATCTATAAGCTTCCATAAAAAACAGCCCAAATGCTACTGAATAATCTTCAAAACGACGCCTGAATTTGCCGAAGAAATAGTCGGTTTTGGCTGCTTTCAAAGCGTAAAACAGTGGCCGCCATAAATGAAAAGCTAGCATGTGATGCACAATCGGTGAAATCCGCTGTTCTATGATGCCACCGTCGCGTGAGAACAAGTGTGACAATTATTTTTCCCATCACACAACACTTTTTAAATGGTACACGGAAGAAAAGCTTTAAACTATTTGAAGATCGCCTTAAAAATTATAAAATGTACTTTAGAGCTGAATTGCTTGCATAAAATGAGAATTCTACCCTTTAGCAGCCAATATTTCTCAAGCGAGTGAAAAAGTGTATGAGCCCACACATCAGCCGCTGATAGTTAAGGACCTTACGCTAGGACGGCGAAGGCAGCGGCAACGTCAAAAAGCAATAGCTTTAGTTAGCAAAACAACAACTCTGCCCGTGCTTCACGCTTTTCTGTACATTTCTTTGCCGTCCCTGCACGACTACAACGTGAAATGACCAAATTTTAAGGTTTTTTTGAGGACAGGAACGGCAAGGTGATGAGTTTCTCTATTTAAGTCAAGTTAAGCTGTGTAGCCTAGAGTTGTCAGCTGGTGCTGTTTTTCATAAATTTGACTAGATATAGATTTTTTTTTTTTTCTGCAGCACATTTTTATTTACGTTTGCTTTCACTATTTCTTCATTCTTGCGTCAATCTCAATACTGCTGCAAATATTTACATATCTATTGTGCATTTAGGATAGGTGTTGCTCTAGAACAGTACCATGATAGTCTTCAAAGTCTTATCGTTGAATGTAAGGGGGTTACGTGATAACGTCAAGCGGAGAGCGCCGCTTAAAATAGACTCTTGGCTTGATGTGACCGCGTTCCCCTCATTCCAAATGAAAATGCTTCAGTAGACGGTTCAACAATATCTGAAATCTTCTCTATTCAGTGAAACTTTCTTCTAAAGTAATATCTTTTTCTGTGCGCACAATATGTACTCGTTCTTTTTTTGTTTTGGTTGTTGTTGTTGTTTTTTTTTTGGTTTATTTTTATCACACTATGTAATGTAATTACTGTCAGTTTAACTGACTATTGTCGTTTAATATATTGTAAAAATTATGTGAG